TTTTTTTTTGGCTTTTACTTTTTGTTGTTCCCATCCACTCGAAGACATTCCTTTGCGACCTTTCGATTTTGGGTCAGCTTTTGGTATAAATTATCAGGTTCAGATGGTGGAACTCCTTGAAGGAATTCGCAAAACTGTCGCGACCTATGCAAACAATCAGCGGAAAAGTTTCGATTCCGAAAATGAGAAATGAAAAAAAAGGAAAGGGTTTTGGGAGTTGGAAGGGTGGCGGAAAGTCAAGTGATCCATCCGGAACTGGTTACAGTACGCAAAAAGTAGTAATAATATATACAAAAAAATTAAAATTATAAATCAGAAAATAAGGTTATATAAGAGGTATATTAGCTTATGCTCTACCAAGTTTGTCTTATATATTATTTTATTGTTTAAACAAAGAATTTTGTATACTATTCTGTGAATTTATCAGTGCAAGAATGTCAAAAAACAAAGTTGACAAACCTCCAGTTTTGTGTACCCGCACTCTGAATATTCAGTATTCTGGGAAATGGAAAAAATTGAAGAGATATTGTTTATTTTCCACTAGAATTGATTGACAGACCGTGAAATTATTTAGGGAAATGTATATTTAAAGAGCTGCAGTTGAGTATGTCAATGAACTGTTCGGTTTTTGTGTTTATGTTCTTATTTTGTTTTCATTTGACTAGTTTAAAAATTGAACTGCTGATGGGTGGAATTTTAAATGGATTCTCAATGGGTATTGTAGGTATTAACCATAAATCAGGGTAAGACAATTGTTAAGGGAGAATCCAATTAGGTTTATCAATCATATGTAATTGATAAGCAATTAACTTGGTTGCATGTTGCCTTCGGTTAAATATTAATTCCTCTAACTACCCAATGTTACTATTGTATTCCAAGAAATGCATTGGCCATTGAAGGCTGAAATTAGTATTGACCTTAGACATGGGTCTTCTGTTACCCGCAAGATCCAACGCAACCAGCTAGTTTTGGCCCTGAATATGGCTGCCACTGGTACTTAACCTCCAAAAAGCAGCAGCTGCAACATCTTATTGCCCTCCTACCTTTATGAGTATATATATATATATATATACTCGTATATGCCATACCTATGACTGCCCTTGCTCTAGGAGCTCTCAATTGGTTCACATCTCATGCTGTTTGCCTTTCCTCAGACCCCTCTTGCTTTGCACCCTCTTTTTACCCCTGTTTAAGACCTTCTTTACCCCTCTTTTCCACCCATATCTCTGGCCGCAGGCTGTGGCTCATTTGGCGTTTTGTAGCATACCTATTTGGGCAGGTCATAAATTCATATACATATGCATACAACCGAGGTGAAAACAATACAACAGAGCATTCTTACAACTTGCTGACTTTTTATGAAACCTTTTTCAGCATTTTTCAATAAATAATTAGAAAATTAAATTTCTAGAACATCTTTAGTTCTGGGAAAATAATAACAACTCTAGAAATCAGTATTTTTGAGTTTTCTAAATAATTTGAAGTAATAAAACTATGAAAGGGGTGCTGTATATTTTAACAGGAAAACTTGAAATATTTAATTCTAGTTAAAATAATTTAATTGTTACAAAAATGCATGTGTTAACCTTGCCTTTTCCATGGATTTTTCTCCAGAAAATACAGAAAATTTTCCAATATGTGCATTTAATAAAAATATGTAATAGCTGGGGTTAGTTTTACCTTTCCAATGAAAGATTTAGGCTTTTGCAAGGGTGTAAAAAACACTTTTTTTATCCCTAACTTATCCCCTATGATCATTTTTTGTTGAGAAATGATTAATTATATTACAAATATATATACCATGTGCCATGTGCCACTAATAACTCAACCGCAACTGTATGTATGCACACAAACAAACAAAAAAGATAGATAGGTGAGTGAGTGAGTGAGTGGGAGGATTGCAATTTGCGTCTGAAATTGGGGCCACGTTGCCTTTTTGGCTCAATAAACTCTTGTAGCCATATTCTCGGATGCCCCTAACTCCGCCGTTCATTTAATATATGAATAAGTGAATAAACCATAAGACAGAGAATAATATGTTGCTGGCAGCCATCTCTTAAATCTTCTCCTTCGTTTCGGTTGAGTTTACATTTGCTTTGCTAATTAAAAAGGCTACAGGGATATATGTGTGAGTGGAGATGCCGCTATTCGGACTTGGATTCTAGGCCATAGTGGCTAAGGTATGTTCATATATATACATATATACATTTTTTGAAACGCTGTCCTTGTTTCCGTACAATCATCTGAGGACACTAAACGCTTTTTGAAAAAAAAAACCCCTAGCCTATCTCCTTGTCATGGGGATTTTTCTACAGAGAAGAAAGAGTTATGAGTAATGAAAATTCCTAATTTTGTTTTAAAATTATCTTTAAACAACGTGATTTTTCTCTTTTGTATTACAATATTTATTCATCTGAAATGTTTTATAGAAGTGCCCTTTAATTTGAATTGAATTTTTCTTACTGTGCACCCACCTACACTCCCCCAAAGAGCCATTCACTGTGTCCGCAACTTTTTAATAAGCCCAACGCGAGAGTCTGGGCCAGGTTCCCACTTGACATGGTTGAGCTGGGGACTTGACGAAAGAGGCTAACTTTTTTTTCTCGTTGTTTTACAGCCCAGAATGTTTGAGTGAAAAAAAAACAAAAAAAAAAAAATTAAAACGTTGGCAAAAAGGGAGGTGGCTGGAGCGGTTTGTACTTCCGCCGACGCCTCGCAAATTGCCGAAGGGGGCTTCTGACCCTCCGCCCACAAAACTTTTCCCACTTTTCCCACAAATTGGCAGCAAATTCGAGCTGCAGTGGAAAATTAGAGGGCATTATGGTTATTCGTTATTATAGCCCGGCAGCGGTTAGATCAAACGCTTTCATAAAGCGGATTAGGTTAGGAAATCCCCTCATTAGAAAGGAGAATACTTTTTCCCCATAAACACTTGAAATATATTCGTAAGATAGAAATTCATTTTGCAATATCTTCTTGAGATTTCTCTATAAATAATATATTTTCCAAGTACTCAAATTTTTCAAGTGTGCAAATGCATTTCGAGTGGCTTATAATTTGTTGCGTTTTGCAATTAAATTATTTTTCGCGACCGATGACCTCTTCTTGGAAGGCAAGTGGAATCTTGGGCTTGGCGGAACAGTCCAGTCTAGACTGCACTGGGGCACGCCTCTACTGTGCTAACAAAGCATATTATAATGGTCACGCCCAGAAAAAGTGTGGCAACTTGTTGAGTCAACCGCTGTGAAATTCAATTTGTGGCTCCTCACTTTGGTGACGGTTTACAGTGCACTTCACCATGCACCTTCCTCTCATTAACTTGCAATTTGTTTTTTTTTATGTTTGGTATTTGAATTATTATCTTTATTAATGACTCGCTTTTCTTTTTAAGCAATTGATATTGTGCTGGCTTAGTTTTTTAAAATAAATTACTCTTAAATTGTCCACAAGTTGGCTCTTGTATAGGGTGGCCCATGAAAGATTTGTATTTTAAAATCGCTTTAAAAATATTAATATATCTCAATTTTCTTCGTTTCGTAAACCGCAAACCTTCTACTAAATATCTGACACATTAACAATGACATTCGAAATGTCAAAGTCAAAATTATCGATAGTTCGAAAAGCAAACGCTACATGGGCCACCCTGTACCTTATTTAGGTCCACTTTCTAGATAAATATAGCTACTTATATTTACAACATTTGAAAGCATTGTTTTAATTTCATTTTTTAAATTCTCATCTCTAACTTCAATCTACACTTTTAATTTAAGCTTAGTCTACTTTTTGCTAAAAAATAAAAATCCCAAAGTCGCAGGCGCGTTGAAGTGTGCCAAACGAATTTCGCTAAAGTTGCAAAGTGAAAATATATTTTTGTGGTACGCACATCTGCACCTCATTTACATGTTCGGTGGGAGGGTGGAGTATTTTTATATATATATATATTTTTTTGTTATACAGAAGTGGCGGTGGGTTTAGTCCATTTGCAGTGTATAAAAGTTGAATAAGTTGTTTGGTGTCCAGTCTGAAAAAGAAAAAAAACCGCCATTAAAATAACTTTTTGTGCCATGGTTTTTTCTCGTTTACAACTCGAGATGGGGGTATATACATATGTATAAAAAAAAATATATATATAAGTTTCTTCCGGGACGTATACCTATATTGGTGTGACACCTCGAATGGCAGGCAAACAACTTCAACATCAGTTTTGTGAGCCGCGGCGGTCTGATAACTTTTCAAATTTAGCCGCTTGGAAAAAGCGAGGCTGGAGATGGTGGTAGGTAGAAAAAGCCCAAGATGATGGAGAAGTTGAATGGGAGTTTTTTGGGGAAATGGGAAATGGTAAATGGAAATGGTAATGGCGAAGGGGTGCCAAAAAGTATGCTAAGTATTTTGACGGCACACAACCAAATCATTTTACCACCCACCCACTTACTTACCCTTGAGTTGAGCTTGAAAGAAGTTCGCTTTCAATTAAAGTTCAACAACTGAGGAAACTTGGGTATTGGTCTTAATCTTAATCACAGCGACCCTATAACAGCCACGGATGCGATTGCTGAATGAATGTCTTTATACAAAGAGAAATTCGGATTTTTGTGAACTTAAAACGGCGTTTACTTATTCGTAGGCTGAAAGAAGCTTTGAAGATTTCCATTTCCATTTAAATAAGAAAATTTTGATTCTAGAAAATTGAAAAAAAAACTTAATGCGGGTTATGATTATGTGTTAAAAAAGAAATCAAGTAATATATTCTATATGTTACATGGTTTTTGGGATACATTTTCTATACTTTTCTCTTCTTGGACTTCCAAGATTTCCTTTTAGTTTCACAGATCGGCAAAGGATGAGCGCACCTGAGATGTCCAAATAGATTTAATTTTCATTTATTTTATTTTAAATAATTTTCATTATTTTCGCCTCTATCGCTTTTGCTGTCCCACTCTAACCTTGATGCGTGTTCTCTTCTTGCATGTTACTTTGTTTGCGACGACGACGGACCAAAGAATAAAAAAAAATTATAAAGTTTTTTCCTATAAGAAAAAAAGAAAAGAAGAAAATAATAGAAATACAGAGAGATAAAGAAAAACAAAAAAAAATATATATATATATAAGGATAATAGAGGAGGAGAGTGGTATAGGAGTCATGGATACCAAGTTGGAGGCTCGTGGCCAATTTCCGGCCTCGTTCCCGGACACGTTTAAGAACTTCTTTGCGATGATGAACGAAGACGAGGATCATGTGGGCCTGTTTGCCAATCTGCTGGAGGATAAGGTATCCCCTGAGACCCTTCGCCCCCCTAAATTTGGATGATCTTCTATATACGAGCATGTCCCAAAACCAAACCAAATATCGTTCCTAAGTGTATTTATATATATATATATATATATACATATTAATCGGTGTGTTCCCCCGTTTTCTTGGCTATTTTTCCTTGCTATTTTCCAGGTTATTCCACGGCAAAACAGCCCCGTCCAGCCCCAGCGGCAGAGGTACGGTGGCAGCATGCGGAGTCACAGCGGCGGAGATCGCAGCGATCGAAGGGGACGAGCTGAACGGCAATATCAGCAGCAGCTCCAGAATCAACAGCAACAGCAACAACAGGTAAGTTTTTTTTGAAAATTTTTACTTAAATTTTTTTATTTTTTTGTTTGACTTATTTACAGCGTGGCTATCAGTCACGAAGCCGCAGTGGCAGTGGCAGTGGCGTTGACCTTTTTGCTAATCGGAATGTAAGTTTTTCGAACAGTAGCAGCCGGGTAAATTCGCTGCGAAGGAATCGCTCGAGAGGATCACTGACCCTGAGCAGCAATGGATTAAATGCTTTGGGATTGGGACCCGTAACCCTGGCACCGAATGTCAGCTCGAGCAGTAGCGGCAGTGTCTTGGACTTGACCGTACCGGGTGCTAGTGTTATTGGCGATCCTGGAGGAGAAGTAAGAGATGGTATAGAGGGAAGAGAAGGAAGAGATGGAAGAGGAGGACTAGGAGGATCTCGCTCGAACTTGTATCCATCACCATCGAAGACCAGCTTGAAGCCCTCCTTGAAGACTTCCACCTCGACCGTAGAACGTGGTTGTGCTCTCTTTCTGGGAATCGACGGTAACTTACCCTGTCACCACTTGAAGTCATGCTATCATGATCTTCAACATGATCATTCTACAGATGGCCTACAGCATTTGCAGCAGCAGTTAAAGGGTCAGCAACCGGGAACGTCACAGAAGCATGTGACATTGGCATGTTGTGAGTGTGTCTGTGGCAGTTCGAAGGCAGCCCGTTCTGGACCTGATGGCGAGGATAACTGTGGCGCTAATTATCCAAAGGGCTATGCCGGCGGTTATATGCTACCATCTACACCCAAATCAAAGACCATTGATAAGACTAGTACTTACACTTCTGCTGAGCTGGCAGCCTCGAAGAACAAGAATCTACAGGAACGACAGGAGCGTCAGGAGAAACGGGGATCGGTCATTCTAGAAAGGGCATTCGACTTCGGTGAGTTTTAAAAAGAAATATTAACATATTTAATATCATTTAGTGAATAAGAATTGAACCAAATTCTTAGCACTTTAGAGCTTGAATTAGGTTAATCATGATTAGCATAGTTTTTATCCCTGATTAAGTATCCGCACTGTGCCAGCCTTCTTATCACTTGACAGTGTTGTAAAGCGCAATTAAAAGCGCACGCAATGCAGACTTTTAACAGCGAGCACAAAAAAAAAAAGTTAAAAGGAGGGGTAAAAAAAAAAAAATGAAAAACAGGAAATCTCGGCCATCTGGATTATCGCAACGGAAATGCAGGCGCTGCAGGGGCTGGCTCTTGATTAGGGAATTAGTCACCAGCAACTGGGCAGTGAAAAGGGGATTATCCAGTGGGCGGCAATGGTTTCTCCACCATCAGCACCACCACCGAGGAGGTGGACATGCCACGGAGTGCGGAAGTGCGTGCCATGGGCGGTTGCCCCAATTGCAGAACGAGAACTCGCCTGCCTGGTTTGCATGCTGCACGGCCATCGCCTGGCAGGTTAATTAAGACTACCCGCCTGGTCGTGTTTTCCCGTGCACAAAGACTGACACTTTACGGCGACAAAGAAATGGGCCATACTCCGGGGTCCTCAATCTCCAGACTCAATGCTCCATGTTCTCTGTTCTCTCTCTCCATATTCCGGATAACAGAACTAAAGGCAACCGGCTAACGAGGCCGCAAGTCACCTGCCGGATGTTAGGTTCCTATTGCTTTGCCAACGTTGTTGCGGCTGCCACATTGATGCAATTGCGGCTGTTTTGTGGCACCTGACAACAAGCCACGAGGGAGACGTTCCAAGGAGCCAAGTCCTTCAGGTTCATTCGAAGCACTTAACACCGGACACGCATTACACTAGCCAACAAGTGTTGGCCATTGCTCCTGCCCCTTACAGTTCTTATAAAAGTTATAATATGATTTCCTTTCTATTTTCTATGTCAATTAAAGTTTTAAAGTGAAAATGATTTGCAGAATTAATATTTCTTATGTTTTATAACAGCTAAACATCTTTCCTTTAAGCTGCTGTTATCAAACTAAACAGTTTTCATTGATTTTAGCCTCAGGTAATAACAGCAAATAATATTAACTATACAATGGCCAAGTTTGCCAGCTTTTTAGAAAGCTTTTTAATTTAATTCGACTGGGAATCAGCTTAAAGCATTAGCTTTCGGTACTAGACTTTAAAAAATTATTTAATGTTATTAAAGAATCTCACAAAAGCACTTTGTTTGCCGAAGATAATTTACTTAAAAGTCTGTTGCTAAGCTTAGGAACTCATGGGTATTGATGAAATATATAATTTATCCACCAAAACGTAACCATATCTTCCATTTTGCTTAAATCCATTTTAAACTGCCTTTAAATAATAAAACGGTTAAGTCAAGGCCGCGGCAAAGAGCCAACAAACACGAGCCGGAAGGCAGCCCAAAAACGAAAATTAAACATCAACTTAAAAAGTGGCAAATGAAGAGTATAAAAAGCGAAAAAGGTCCGACATTTATCCGCTGCCTGTCCTGAATCCTTTTTTCCTGCTTCTTTTTTGCCCCATTTGTGAGGGGGGGAGGGTTAAGAGAGGGAAACGGGTGACATTGACGGGTTACACGGATAATCGGCTCCTTTTTTTGGGGGGTGTCCTCTGTCTCTGTCCATGTACAAGCCGTCAGGTGAAAGGATTCCAACTTAAAGATACATTTTGCCTTTGTCCTTTTAATTGCATCTGGTAAACTGTTGAATGGAGGAGCAGCCGCTCGATAAATGAAAAGCCTTCGACTCATTTCTATAATGGATGGGTTCCTTGTGATGATTAATTCGTCTGAATGCGTTAGGAAAATGTTTGAGGACCGTAAAGGGCTTCAAACGTTATGATTAATCAGTGGGATCAACTCAATTTACTGGTTAAAATCATGCCCTCAAATGAACAAAAACAAATCTAACAAATGGCTACCAAAAGGCCCCAAGGCAATGCTCATTAATCGAATGATTAAACTGCAAGTGCCGACAATAGATATTGTTCAGAAAATACCATTTAATATACTCCAAGTAACAGTTAACAAAAAAGAAAAAAGGAAATTTAAATGATGCCGGCATCGTAAAATTCTTAAGCTCTGTCGGCGAAGAATGTGCCACACGCTAATTAAGAGAAAGCACCCAGGAAAGTTTCCTAGACAAACTCGGAGCCATGAAATTTAATCATAAATATGTTGAAAACAATTTTTATGGCCACCCATTGGACATGGCTGTACTTCTAGGGGGTGTATATATATAAAATAATAAGAATATAGACTGCTGAGACATTTTACTTCACTCTTTAAAATGTTTAAAGAAAATTTTTTATAATATTAAAACTACATTTCTTTAAAATTGAATCCCTTGGGACTAAATTAAATTGGTTTCTTGTTTCACAATTTCATGTTGTCTCTTAGGAAAAGTCAAAGTTCGCACCTCTTCGAGGCGTAACTTTTGAGTGACAGGATTTCCGCGTATCAAATGAATATTTAACTGGGTATCCGTGGGGTCGAAAGTCTGTTAACCTGTCATGTGTGGCCATATTTTTTAGCGATGTGCGCTGGGTCTAACCGACAATTTTTATGGCGCTCACCGACGCATAAAGAGCCAAAGTTTATTAATTTTTTTTTTCTTTGCCCAACAACAAAAGGAAACAGCAAAGAAAACTTAAGCTTGGCTATAAACATGTAAACAGAAAAGTAAACACACACACACACACACAGAGAGAGAGAGAGACAAAGTCGTTGGGAAATGTCTCGGAAAAAGTTTGCTTTTTGGGTTCTGGCAAAACATTTTCATATTTGACTTCAACTTGGGAAACATAATTCTTGGGAAAGACACGGATACACACACTTACATATATAGACAAAGAATGGAAATATATATATGTAGACACCCGGGCACAGGTGTCCCAGGTGTAAGCTCCAACTCTCACAGTTTTCCATAAAGATAAGGTTTTTGGAAACCTTGGGTTGTCCCTCCGGAACTGACCACATTTGTTTGGTTGAGACCACATGGTAGCGGTTAGTTTCTGTCAACTGGTCAGCGGAAGTCCTAATTAACATTCAGTTTTTCTAAAAAGGAAAATCCTATTTCAGTTTAGTTTAGTTTATATATAAATATTTATTCAATTAGATGAATGCATTCTCTATTATTGTAATGAAATTTCCGTTTGCTTTTATTTTATCCTGATTGCTGCCCGTGGTTCCGGCTTGGGTGCCCAGACGCCAGCTGCGATGAGAGTGACAGTATTAGTAGCAGCACTCATAATCCTGTGCCCTCGCCAGCACCACATCAGCCAGCGTATAATGTCCTAAAGCCGATCCTCAAGCAGCCGCAGCAGAAGACGATGTTGCAACAACAACAACAACAACAACAACATCAACAAACGGTAAATGTACAGCAAAACCAGGGGGCAAACCATCAACAGTATCAACAGGTTGCTCACCAGCATCATCAAGGCGTTGCCCTGCAGCAACAGCAGCATCAAGTGGTTACCCATCAGCCACATCAGCAACAGGTAAACCAACAGGACTATGACCAGGTAAACCATCAGCAGCATCAACAGGTTAGCCACCAGCAAAATCAACAGGTTAACCATCAGCAGCATCAACAGGTTATCCATCAGCAACATCAGGGAGTTAACCAACAGCAGATGATCCACCAACAGCATCAAATGGTAACCCATCCACCACACCACCATCAACAGGTGGCGCATCAGCAACTACCGACACCTGGAGTCCATGTTCATCGTCTTCTTCCCACACCACCAACACACAGTGGCAAGGGAGCGTTCCATACTCGTGAGGCGGCCTTGCAACGGGTGCAGCAACAGAGTGGCTACTACAACCAAGGACCCAGCACCTCGGCATCGGCCTACGGTTATAACCAGTCCATGGAGCATCAGCAGATGCAACAGCAATTGCAATACGATCAGCATCAGCATCAGCAGGATCTTCAATTCGAACAGCATCAGACGCCGCATCAGGCACGTCAGCTATATTCTGATGACACCGAATTGGATTACGATACTGAATGGGAGTTGGACGAGGAACCTGCCCCAGAGATCGTTCCACCGCTGAGCACTTTCAGTGATTTTGTCAATGCAGCCCAGAATCCAACTGGCAGTCGTGTAAGTATTGATCTATTGATAATTATCTACTGCACAAAACACTTTCCATACATACAATTACACTTTCTTAAATCAATTGGAATATATTATAAAATTAACATTACAAAACATTTGAGTATTTTGATTTTTTTTTAGAGGGATCATACCCAGAATTGCTGCTATGAAATTTGCTTAAATAATTATTTCATTTCAGTTGCAATTGTAATTGAATTGCTAACGCAGTTGCGTTAGCCCAAATCCCAAATAAAAGACACTTTGACATAAATGTTAATATTGCATTATATACAGTCCTGTAACACAAAGTTCTTTTTCAGCGACACCTCTAACCCCTTACATTTGTCTGTTTATTTTTGATCATATCACCATTCATAGCAGAGTCTGCGGGCCCAGAAGTCACCGATTTTGAATAGACGTCGCGCCTCATCGATAGCTGGAAATTTATTACATTCGGATTATAATTATACCAGGAATAGTATCGGTGGAGCACCGATCGACTCCAACGATTTTCAACGCATTTCGCATAGCAGTAGCGCCAGGTGGGTTATTATTTATAAATTTCTTATAAATTTCTAATTCCAAGTTTTAAATGAACTTACTTTTAAGTCACTTATTAATTGTATGCATATAATTCAACTCTCAGTCGTTGGTTAATGTTGTTAAAACAAAAAAACAGAAAAAAAGAAACAATTCGTCAGTTTTCCTTTTTTGTTTCACATTTATGGAGAAGATTATGGTGATGATAAAGTAGCTAAAGCTTCAGGCAGAAGCCCTCGGAAAAGGCGGTCCAGTCATAAACAAGAAAAAAAAAAAATGATAATTAAAAACTTTTGCAACAATGCCCGGTGGCAGGTGGGTAGACGAGGAGGTCCACCCTAATTAGGTGACCCCGACCGCCTAGAGCCCTCAACTGTGACCTCTCGCGCCGTCGTCGTCGCCACCTCCTTGTGCTCCTCAACTTGCCATTGTCTTTGGCATCCCAGAGCGACCTTGGCCCAATGGGTTTTTCAGATTGAAACTGCAGATTTAATGCCAAATGGCTTTTCAAATGTTTTTTTTTCTTTTCTAATGCTTTATTCAGTTTTGCAAATCACGAATAATGGTACGATTAAAAAACAAACATAGTGCACTTTTTGCATTCCTGAAGAAGTATAGTTCTTTTGTTCAGTTGTAAGTTTGAAACATTTATGGCTTCTAGCCTGGGAAACCAGGAATTTCAAGGAAAACTAAAAGCTTTAAGTGTTTGCCCTCTTTTATAGAAATTAAAGAGACCTTTTTATAAATCAGAATTTGGGTTGGTACAAAAGCAAAAGAGGTCACAGCGTAAAAATAATGTATCTAGAGAGTTTCATCTTCTTTTACCCGCCGAATATTCACTGTCCGGCTTAATAAGGTTAATAACGCTGAAAGCTGAAAGCTAGTGGGTCTGGGCCACTTTTCAATCAGTTTTCATCAGGCTCGCTAAGTGGCCTAATTATGAGCTGGAATGCAATTTACCTTAAGCCCAGCTATGGGAATGTTGAATCCCTGGGTAGACTGAAAAATATTTTTCAAGTTCAACTTAACACAAAAAATATTTCAAATATAATTACCAAAGTTCGTTTTTGAGCTGAACTAATAAAACATTTCATAAATTTTTATATTTTATAATTTATTTTTCTATAATTTTAGGGATCGTATGTCTCTGGCCGGAGTCCTGACCTTTCAACAGGCCATGTCCGGAGCTGTGTCACCACAATATGGCACTGTGGGTTCATTGAATCCCCAAGCTTCCGGTTCTGGTGAAAAGAAACCCGGTATGGTCGGAGCAGATGCCATGGGTGGAGGTGGCTTACCAGGCGGATCCTCTCATAATATCAATTTGACAGTGGGTCTGGGGTTTCTCGGTGGATCAAACACCACCTTAGCTGCTGTCGCCGAGGTAACTAGTGGACCAGATGGTAATGGCGATTCCACCGATTCCCCATCGCCCGTCTCCATGATCCCAAGTAAGCAACAACAACAACAGCAGCAGCAGCAGCAGCAGAAACAACAGCAACTATTAGAGTTGCAAATGCAGCAGGAGCGGGAGGATTTGCCAACCCATTTGCCAATGAAACGAGAACGCGGCGTGGGTGAATCCTCGGGGGCTAGTACATCAGGCACCGCCATAGCAGATTTGGCTGCCTCAGTCGTCTTGGCCTCCCATTCTGGCAAACCCTTAACGGAGCGACAGCGCTTGAGGACCTCCAGCATGCCGGCAGAAAGTCGCAGGGTGAGTATAACTTTAATATTACATTTTTATATATTTATACTAAATATTTACTTTTAAACCGATCAAAATTTCAATTTGAAGCTAACAAAGTACTTCAACTTAATATTCGAGACACATTTAACCCACATCTTTCCACAAAAACGAGGCAGTCACTGTAACTACTTATTTTTGGGTGAAAATTTGGCAAATGCATAGTCATTCGATGCGGGAACCAGTTAAGCCAGTTCAAGGAGCCAGCTCATGGGGATTATCGCACCGACATGGGACGACAAGTAATTGAAACTCGGCCCGGGGAACACAAAAGCCATTTAAGGACAGCCATTAGCACTCCACTCGACAGTGAAATATTCTTAATAGTGCCACTGGCCCAAAACCAAAAAGAAAAGACAAATAGAAAAAACTAGATGTATATACAAGACGAAGAAACCAAAGATTACACATGTATCTGGGGGGGAGGTGAATTTCTGTGGATGCCGTTGTGAGTAGGAGTTTGGGCCAAGTTTCCAGCATTCAGCATGAGTAAGCATTTGATACATGGTTCTACTTTTGGCCCTCTGCTCCCGGGTCATTGGCTGGCTGAGTCGTTTTTGGGGGGCCAGAGTAGTTTGATATTGCCTCTGCCTGGCAGGCAAGCTTATCATGCACCCGACTTCCACCTATCCCCCAGTGGCCAGACCCACTTGTGCCTGGTGTTTTCCTGTATCGTTTTTGGCACATTTGAAAAATCGCCATAATCAGCGGGCCAGCTAAGTGCACTCTCACTAGATTCACCTACATTTTGTTTTATTAAGGCAGTTTCAGGAGTTTGAATGTACTTATTTTTAGTTTGGAAGAAAGTTCATTCAAGGGATAGTAGGAAAAGGAAAATACTTTAAAAAATACCCATTATTATTTTATTAAGTATACGTTTCAATATAAAGTCTTTATTTTAAATTTATTTTTATTGTATTTTCTAGTAACAACTTTATATTTTGCTCAGCAAAATATTTAATAAGTACTTAAGGGGTCGTGTCATCCAATTGTCCCATAACTGTGTGCCATTAACATGGATTTATGGCTGCGATTGTGGTCGTGGGATCTATAATCCCCAACGCTTCTTTGGCTGACTTGCACTTGTCTAGTCGGTGCAGCTAATGTAATTAGTTTGTGAAATTGCTCGAGTGAAAATTGTGCAATGCGCGTGCTGCGCGAGCTACGTGCCACGTGGAATTCCTGCACCTGCCACCAGACGCTGTGGGACTACGAAAAACGGCAAGAAAGTGGAGCAGTCGTCGGGCATTGACCCGAAGTTTTCATCATTTTCCGGCACAAAAACTTTATGCCCGTCTCGCATCGCATGGATTCCAATGCAATCGCACGTTGGCTGCAATTAAAGTGAGCGAACGAGCGGAGAACCTTCAAAAGGAATCAATGGCAAGCACGTAGATGGCTCCAGGCCAAACGGGGCTTGGGATTGGTATTGCGATTGGATTTGGCCAAGTCTGTAGAATGTAGTATGCAGTCTGTAGTCTGGCGGAGTCTGAAAGTTCAGCATTAAATGCGAAATAGTGTCAAGTGTGGGGGGCACTCGACACCGAAAAAGGGAAGAAACTTGTCGACTGCAGTCCCAGATCCATTCACACTTCACCTCATCTTCAGTCGCTTGCTGCAAGCAAACAAAAAAAAAAGTATATAACAGGGTGGCTGAAACCCCGAAGGCAGCCGAAAAAGTGCAAAAACTTTTCAACTACCATGGCCCAAAAGGGCAACCGCAAATATGTGTGTGCCATAAGCCCATCGGGGGCCATCGCCCTGCAATTGGCAGGAACAGAATGCGACTTTGGTACTCGTTGTTGTCCGCAAGAGGTGTCTTAAATCTCTTGGATCCATCGTACATTCTCCATACGTAAAGGCTTTATTCACACCTTATTGGACTGCTTAAATGAAATCAAACATTGTCAGACAGCCTGATTGGTTTTCCTGTGCCAGGACGTTTATTTATTCATGGGCAGCATTTACTTTTCATGGGTCTTCAAATTCCTTTCATCAAGGCTTAGTATTTATTTTTATATTTATTTTACAAGCATGCTTGTGAGCCATTTAAGATTTTTTAATATTTAAAATGAAGAGGGAATTTATTGACTTTTTTACGTTTTTATTAAAAAGTCAATGGTGCGTATGAGTTATTTTTAAATGTATGACATTGCGTATACGTTTTAGGAAAGCATACATGGCGTATGAGTAATTTTGTAAATTGGTCATAATTTTTCATATTCTTTGTTAATTTTTCTTATAATTGTTATTTTATTATATTTTTTCAGCCCCGTTTAGCGGAGATGCGACGTTCGGCCATTCATGCCGGTGATCCGGACATGACCTACTATCGTCTGCGCAGCTTCAGCATCACTTCCCATGGCATTTGCAACTTGGGAGATTCCCTTAGGTAAACTATCCAAGTACCTGTTATTTTCCACAGACTCTGGCATAGGTTTTTCTTTTGTTATTTAAAAAAAAAAACAGAAGCCGCAGGTCACGTTCGATCAATTCCGTGACTTCTACTGGCACTTCAAACAGTGGCGTGGATCGACACAATAGGTAAGTTCAGTGGTTCAACGTTCAATGTACATCGTCGTTCGGTGAACAAAAGTGACTGGGATGGCAATAAATTGTTCAAGAAATGACAGTTCACATGGCGACAACAATGCAAAACGTGCGGCATTTTCACGTCTATATAGTCTGACTAATTTCATACAATTTCCACACCAAACAATTTCCGCTGCCATTAACAACGGCATTTTGGAGTGTGAGATGCCCAAAAGATGAAGATGATTCGCAACAATGGCAAGGCGTTTCCCATCTTATTGTCAAAGGAAACGCCGTCGTTCTAGCACAGTGAAACTTTTTTGGAAGTTTTTTTGTAGAATTTTTTAAAAGTTCGATTTTCATAAAAACCCATTTTTTTGGTGTAAATAGATTAATATATTTATGCTTGTAGTATTTAAACTTAAAGTGTTAATATTCTTATTGCTAGATTTTCGGTTGCTACTTTGATGAAACCTAACCCACTGTGCGTTGATATTTTTGCTTATTATTGTTATTGCCTGTATCTTATCGTAGCAACGCATCGGGAGCATCGGGCGAAGTCATCGACGGGGATCCAAACGTTCCGGCCTACAAAATTGCCATGCTCGGCGGCTCCGGAGTGGGTAAAACCACCCTGACATACCAATTCACCACTTCCGATTACATATGCGCCTACGACCTGAGTCTCGGTAAGTCCGCATTTATTATTTAACACAAAAAGCACACACAAATTTATTAATTGGCAATTTTTTAATTTGGCAAATGTAAAACTATATATTTATCAGGCCTGCCATCCAAGTTGATATCGCCAATCGAAAGTTCATTTTCTATATCAAAAAGATATATCGCTTTCGGTTGACATTTTTAGTCTGCACTTGTATACAGCTCGCATATTAGATAATATTGTAAAGTTTATCCTTAACTCTTGATAAAATAAATATAGAAATAAAGTAGATTTGTTTTATATTTTAGTAGTTTTTGTTCGGCACATAAAGTAAGGCTTGGTTAATAATTTGTAGTTTGTAATTAGAAAGTAAAGAAAGAATTTACTAATCCAATTTTTTTGTAGACTCGCTTTTTTGCTACTTGTTTGGGCTTGGTAGAATCACATTTAAATAAAAATTAAGATGCATTCCCCCAATTTATTTTTGTCTAGAGAAACTTTAAGGCAAGTAATTGAAAATGAAGTTACTTCTCAAGAGTTTTATGAACGCGAAATCCTGTCCTGGCTCTTCACTATGCGGCTTTTAATCAAACACATTTGCATTTTAATTACGGCACAAAGTCATAAAATATGAAAAGCACCAACGCTAATTTCATTAACTTTCGCGACCATATCACCGGATCTGAAGTGTGGGGAATAGCTAGAGAAAATGGGCCATGATGGCTGGATGGTTTTCCACCATCCACTTTGATAACCGCTTTGGAGCTTTTAAGTGGATTTTCAGTGTGAATTGTAGAATTTGCACATCACTGACATTGGCTTAAAGTCCTTGTTGTTTGTTGTCCAGATCAAATCGCATTAGTCTACAAATATACTTTGTTAATATTTGTCTGTTTTTTTCTCCTCCGATAGCCATAAGTTTATAAGTTTCTCTTGGTCTTGGCCAAAGTCAAAGCCAAAGGCCAGATATGTGTGGGTCCGAATATTGAGTTAATTAATTGGAAACCCAAAGATGCATCCATGCACAGCCAAAGGATGCATGCGGTGCGGTGCATTGCGTAAAGTTGTACCTACGAAGACGAATTAATTGAATTGCTGGCACTATCGAATTACCTTTTGAGCAGCGAACTTTAATGGACCACGCTCATGTTGGTCACTGAGTTAATTACCTCTGGTTTATTCTAGCACAACGGCTTAAGTCCTTGCTTGGATAATCTGATAATGGTGAAAGTTTCCGAAACCCAATATTCCATTAGCAGCAGATAATTGCAACTTGGCACAGCTTGTCGTTCGTGCAACACGTGTGTCGCCACAGTAACACCCAAAAGCAACAGTTGATGATTTTGATTTTAGATTTATGCTGTGTGGACTGCTGGTCAACACCTATATATACACAAGGATTCAATGCGTTTAATTTTCAGTTTTGATGTGTAAATTTAATAACCAGCACCGGGCTTAATTCTATTGTGATACTATAATCAAATGTAGGGCTTCTACATTTTGGTCAAAACAAATTTAGTTAGAGTGTGCTGAGAGCTCTGATATGTATATTTAATTAGATCATCTTATCATATTGATTTTTTATTTCCGTGTAATATGGATTGCGTGTGTACGTACTTCATGCCAGCGTTTGTATTTTCCGGACTCTGTGTTGGAATTTTCTGGCATCCAGAGGAAGGATCTAGCTTACGGGGCCAACAAAAATGCCTTTGCTGTTCATGCAGGAATTTGCTGCTCTCTAGTCTGTCTCTCTCTCTATGGTCGAGATAATAAAATCCCTGAGAGGTTTTAATTAGCCCAGAAGCAAAGGCCAACTTTATGACAGTTGAGTGTGTGCCCTTTTCTGTTTTTGGTTAACTATTGTTGGGAATTACCATAGTCGTATTGTCCTGCAACTGCTTTATACTGCAGGATGTCCACTGCTTGCACTGCTTGATGCCTGTTTCCTAAAGCCTTCGTGTGTGGTTTCTATTTTTTCTGAGGCATTTTGAATGTTTTGTAGCTGAACACGCAAAATAGCCTGGTCTGTTGCGTGTGGGCGTTGTGGTCTTAGCCATCTTTCTCTAATGGCTCGCTAACGTTGCATGACCATGCCACGCCCTCGAAAGCAGATGGGAAATTTATTATATGCCATGTCCGTTTGTTGTATAAATCTAAGTGGTTCTGATTTTCGAAAATAGCCTAGAGGAAAAGTCTTAAATTTAATCGGTAATGATGTATATTTTTCTAACTTTCTTTTTATTTTTTGCTGGTCAAAAATAACTATCCTTCGGGCACAAATGCACTAAAAACGTTTTTTTTTTAAATTTATATTCTTAGAGGCAAGCAAAGAGCATATTAATTGCTTTTATAAATAGCAAATATATAAACCTCTTTATATTTAAGCCACTGTGAAAAGGTCGGTCAAGCATGACCGGCAGCCTGTTGCATGTATATCAAAATAGATTAAATGAGAGCACCTTCATTATGGTAAAGCAGGCAAACTATTGAGCTTTGTTAATAATAATCCCCCACTAATTTCTCCAGCAAAATGGTCATTAAGGTCTTAGAGTAAACCCCACAAAAAGCAGGCAGATGCACGCGCTTTGTATATTTGGTTTGTTTGCTTGGTTTAAGGGCAAGTGGCGCGTGTAAATCCCTTGTCTAAATAGAATGGTGCTTCCTCAAATTTAACGCTTTTCATTGGTTTTATTTGCAAAAAGCATTTGTATAATTGCATTGCAATGACTCGGCGAAGCGGTTGGCTTTTGTTACTTGTCAATTGCATGACTAATCGGCTAAGCCGCCAAAAGAGCCAAGGACTCATTAGGCAGGATGAGGATTCTGCTGAACAAAATACGGCAATAGAGCACGTTTGCTTTTTTCCATTCAGTTTTGTGGCCCCGCCCACGCACGGTAAATTTCTTGCAACATGCAAATTAAGCTACGGAGTATAAAAGTTTTTCCTTTTTTTCTTTTTTCTTGTCATTTTCCATTGGCATGGGGGAATGCACGAATGACGAGGTGGGAGCTTTTGTGTTGGGTTTGCCGGGGTTTGCAGATGCGGGTCGACTGGCGTCTAAATATTTGCCACAGCTGAATGCAAACAGAGTTGGACGCAAGCTGCAGTCATTGTCTGCTTTTGCGACTCCTTTCCAGGACCTTTCCGTCCTTTTTCCGATGCCTCACCCATCCAATACGCCCCATCATCTTTTTTGGCTCGCGTCAAACTGCTGACAAAGCGTGTACTGGGCGTTGCTCATGCACTGCCAAAAAAAAAAAAAAAACATCGCCGAATAGCATGGGTCAAAGGTTTGTGTTTGGCAGAAAAATTCGCTTCATGGCTCACCCAAAAATCCGTTGTTTCAAATTTACATTAAACACTGCCCTTGAACTTAAATAGTGTGAAATTTGGGCTATGTGCCGGTTTAGGGCATTAAACTTAACTTAAACTTAAACTTAATTTGGAGTTTAACTCTCCCTCATAATAAGTTGAATTCTAAACTTAAATTATAACATAAATACTATTAAATACTATTTTAAAATGGATTTTTATGGGCTGAGTACTTAAGTTAATTATTTTGTAAATCATAAAAACGCAAAAAAATTAATGTTTTTCTTGTTATTTTGTGGCAGTGTTTTGGTGACATAGCACTTTCCGTGTACACCACTGGGGCAGAAGCCTTTGCCAGTTCGGAGTCCCGAGCTCCGTGTCCTGTTACCCTGCACCATATGCCCTCCTTCACCCCACTTCAAGTTCACTGTCTGCCTCCTCCTTTTTCACGTTTTATGGCGCTACGGTTAAAAAAACGAGTCAATGTAGAAAGAGTGAGAGAGGGGGGTAGCGTCAATTGCGACATTAACTTGCTGGGCAAATAAAATCACTTTGATTACGGTTTTATGGGCGACACGCCCATCGAACGCCCCGCAAAGGTTGTCGCCGCCTCTGGTGCAATTTGATCGATTTTCGACCCTTTGGAGAAATGCATTTGAGTACTTGTTATTTTGATTTCCTCGAAAGTACTTAGCATTTGGGGTTGATTTCTTGAAAAGCAGCAGTTCCTCCATACTTCTTCGTACTAAATAAACGCTTGTAGAATGCACTCCTGCTTGGGTAGTTTCCTATATATTTTTTTTTTTGTAAATAATATATCCTAATTATTTCGTAGAAACCTAACCAGTAAGACCTAGAGTTAAGGGCATCACAAAGTGTTTTTTTTTTTTGTTGTTATCGTTTGTTTTTTTTTAGATGATGATTATGGGCAGAAGACGGTATCGGTGCTAGTCGATAACATTGAAACGGATTTGGAAATAATTGATCATCCCGCGTGCGAAATGTCGGTGAGTAAGTAGTAGTGGTAGAGCAACTCCCATAATGTAGGTATAGTAGTAGTAGTGGTGTAGTGTATCGTCTCCCAACAGAAACTCCACCCAACTTCAACTTTTCTGTAGACCCTACTCATCTGGATGGAGGATTTTATTTTTCTGATTTTCACAGTCTGGTTGAGTGGATCATGCTGTAGGTTAAGAGCCATCTGCCACTTTTGCCAAGTGTCATTAACACTTCTCTGCTTCTGCCGTCACTTTAAACAAGAAACAAAGTGATGGGTTAGGAATTAGGTGCGGGAAACACAAAGTTCCCTTTAAAAGTTAATCAAATGTTTTCTTGGACACATCTCTCTCACTCACTTCATTTATATTTTTTGTTTGCTAGGAATACTAATTAACACAAATTAAACGCAGTCAACCTGCTTGAAAATCATTTTACTAAATGTTTTTAACTTAAAAGGTTTTATATTTCAAATAATAGGAAGTGTATACAGCTTAAAGCTGATTTGGGTAAATAATTAAAAAATTCTACATGTCCTAAAAACCCCTTGATTTTCAGAAATTACATTTTGGTGCTAACTACTTGCGAGGAGCTTTAAGTCTTTAGTCTAACCAAGGTCAGTTGTCTCAGCTGTGAAAGGCGCCCAGCCAAGCGTCTCACATGAACCTAGAAGGCACGTCTCATTCTCGAGTGGATGGTGGTAGTCCCCTCCCAATCCCATCCTACCAACTACAACCCACTGTCCAGCTTATTCCACTCCCATTGCCCGCTTGGAAATTTCATTAAAACGATTTTTTCGTAGCCTACTTTTCTGCACCATATGGTTCATCTCTCATTTTGTTTCTACTTTTTTTTTTTTTTTTTTTTTTTTTGTTTCTTCCTTGCCACAAATTTGTGTTGGCCCCTTTTAGACGGAGGCTTTCTGCGCCACCTACAACATCGACCTATTCGTGGTGGTCTACTCTGTGATAGATCGAAACACTTTCGCAGCAGCCGAGCGAGTCCTACAGTATCTCAAGGAGAACGAAATGCTCTTGTCCCGCGGAGCCATCCTGGTGGCCAACAAAACAGATTTGCAGCGACATCGCGTCGTTACGCGTCAAAGTGAGTACTAGCTAGTATATATTATACATACCCTATGATCTGATTAACTGGCTGGACTAAGTGGATTGTTTATAAAGATTAATATAGTCTTTCTCTATTTCAAAGATTTTTGAAAACTAATCCAGTTGGTCAGCAGAATTGCATATTTCATACTTCATGCTCTCAAACCTTTTCATAACTTTTCTTTCTAATATTCCGCTAACCTTCAGTGGGTCGCAAAGTGGCCAAAGATATTGCTTGCAAATTTATCGAGACCTCTTCCGGATTGGATCACAATGTGGACGAACTCTTGGTTGGTATTGTAGCCCAGGTCAAGCTCAATCCGCAGCGTTTGCGATTGTTAACGGAATTGGAGCTGCAACGTTTAAATCTCCAGAGTACGATACAGAAGCATCGCGGCATGCACTTGCAATCCCGTCGAATGGTGCGACAGATGAGCATATGCCAGGGGGACGAGGAGATCTTCGATGGCGGATTGTCGGAGAGATTGCAGAACGACGACGAAAACAACGATCCGGACGGAGTGCCTAGCACATCGAGGGCCAGTCGATCGCGAATCGAGAATCCCAATCGCAAACCCTTGAACCTGGAGAGCATACTGAAGATGGGGGAGAGCGAGGTGGACGACGACGAGGATGTGGTGAAGACATCCCAGTTGAGCAAATTCAATATGCTCGCGGCCACTATACGTCATCGTCGTCCATTTCGCAAACGTCGTTCGTTTGACGGCGGCGTTTCCACATCTGCAGCAGCGGATGCGGCCGCAGAATTACAGCGACGCTATCAACTCCGGGCGATGGATGATTTGCAATTGGAGGGGCGATTGGCGGCGGAGGATCGTTTTGGGGATAGAAACGGTGGTCTGGCTGAGAGCGAGGACGAGGAGGCTGGCGAGGATGGTGTCGTCGAGGATGGCCGACGGAATACGTGTAATCGCAAGGTTGTCAAGAAACTGACCGCCCGCACCAAGGTATTCATATCGTCGGTGTTGCGCTTTAAGAAGTCCATCAGCCTTAAGCGGCGCAACTCCTCCAGCTGCAGTGATCTCTTCGTGATCTAAGCAGTTAAGAGGAGAAGGAAGTGTAGAAAGTAGGAAGCATAGAGACTGAATGTACATAGATGGCATATATAGAGGAGGAGCATTACCAAGAAGCAGGAATAGGTGTAGGAGTAAGTGTAGAAGCAGTAGCAGTATAAAATCCTAAAGAAACCAGAGACCAGGAGAGCAGGCACAACGAACTATAGCAGCGCAAACCGAGGAGGTGGAGTCAATAACGAAAGTGTAGGGAATGCAGGGAGTCAGCATGTGAGAGGAAGTTATTCAGTTCCATATATTACAAAAACCTTAACGAAAACGAAAGAAACTACAGGGACATCATCTGTTTATAAGATCAACAGGCAATAGCAGAAGTCAACATTTATTACTTTTGAGATGAAAAACTGTAATTGATTCAAGCAAAAAGTATACCAACTGAAATTTAGATGCAATTTTTGTAAGCCAAACGAAATCTCTAGAGATTTAAAACCACTCGAAAAAAACGTAACTAAAGGTGAGCTATATTTTATTCTTGCTATTTTCAGAGTATATTGTAGCCGACTTTTGGCAACATTTATAAGTGATTTCAAACGTCTAGAAATTTCCATAAGGCTGATCGTTGTATAAAACACGTAAAAGCAACTACCCAACAGACCGAAACCAACCGGTAGGTGGCGCTGCAAATGCAGACAATAATTTTTCTTTTAACCAACCAAAAAAAGTATTGATCAGCATATTTTACAAAATCCAAAAATCGAAAAAAAAAAAAAAAAAAAAACATTCAAACCAGGGGTAAGCACGTTTTATGCAAATGCAAAATTGAATACTATCCAAAGGACAGCAGAAAAAATTAATAATTCAGAACAAATAGGAATCCGAAAAAAAAGACGGACGCAGGGGCTTTGTTTTGAGTGGTACTTACTTTCAGGAACGGAAAACAACCGCAAAGGCAATATATACATATATCTGAAAGGAGAGAAAAGCAAAATAATGCATTTCATTTTGTTATTTGGTTTTTGCTTGTGGTTTCTTGTCATGATTAAACGCGTGGTTTCCGACGAGTTTCAAGCTCACATATTTTTATTATATGACAAATATGAAGAATAGCTGAATACGAATGAGTACCAAAAAGATATTGAAAAACGCAGAAACATGGACATATTTTGTTTTTTTAAATACATTCTGATTAAACAAAAATGAATACAGGTTAAAGAAATATACAAAAACAAAAAATAACCAAAAGAGCAGTACAAAATTCTCCACAATATTGCAAAACTTTATTATGGCACGCTTTTTAAATGAAATTCGATTTCATGGTGCCAACAGTCCAGCTTAATTGCTCAAATATTTTAACACCTCTTACCATATTGGACACACACACATATATATATTTAAATAGTTTTGTTTTTTTTTTAACATATAAATTTCTTTGTGATACTCCTATAGTTGCTTCTTCACTAGACCCTTCCATTACCCATTTTAAGAGGTATTACTAATATATAAAAATTGTTTCTTCTATATATGTTTTACAACAACTTACTATATACGCAATGTGAGAGCTTTTTGTAAGTGGTGCACCTTTGGCCCTGCTGCTCGTTTAGCTTTTGCTGAACTACCATATAACATTTTTTAAATATAAATGTCTAGCGCCAAGTTTTTATTTTTAATAAAAACATTTTTGTTTTTTTGGCGCCTCTAATCGAGAAATAGACAAATAAGTATTTTACACTTCTGGATGTTGTGTGGTAAAAGAAATACCGAAAATACACAAAGATCACAAGCACGAACGAACACAGTTACAGGAAGCCTAAGAACAAAGGTTAAGATACATCAAAATATAGAATATATAGGGTCAGCCAAAGTAGGTATAACTGTTAGATATTCTGGGCTCCTCAATAGCAACCGTACTATAACCTTTTTAAAATACAAAATACCTTAACTTGGTTGGATAATCTCTGCTGACAGAGTCAAAAATTTGTTATTTGGAAGTAGTTTCGCAAAAGGGAAAGAATCTAAGAACTTATAGTATTGAGCAGTGAATGAAATTTAAATTAATTTGCAAGAGAATCCAGAGATAATGAGCAAAAAAATTGATTATTACCGAACAGTAACTGACCCAGAGCTGGCAACATATTACACACAAAAAATATATTCAATATTAACTAAATAACCATTATCAATGTAACATGCGCCCGCATTAAGCGAAATCACACAAGAAAAAGCGCAACTATTTATGTCAAATGAAATGTCTCATAAAATGCTAAAACGAAATAAAAATACAAAAAAGGAAAAATAGAAGAAAATATATCCACGCCTCTAGCCACCCTTTTCAGTTCTGTCTGTCGATGGAACTCAAGGCAGTCGAGCAAAAACCATAATGAGCTTAACCAAAGCTCGCATAACTGTCTCTCGCAAAAGGAACCAGCATTGAAATCGTGGGTGGTCTTGGAAATCTCTTAGCAGCTACCAACACATCACAAGCTATCGCAAATTACACAGGCTAAAGGTTCTCTATAAAGCAGAAAAAGAAATGCCAAAGTACAGCAAGTTTTCTTAACATTAGCTTTTTTTCATAAAATCAATGAAATTTTAAGACCCACCAAAATCTCATTTGGTCACTCAAAGATTATAAGTTCTCTATTAAGTTACAACCTTGTTTCTCTTTACATCAGTTTACAAGGACATTGGTTTTGTTTTTTTTTATGTTGGTAAACCAAATTAAATCGTGGTAGTTATTACCTGTTAGAGGTTTTTATTCGTATCGAGAAAGGCAGGTTAAAATAACCGAACGAACACACAAAAGAGAACCAAGAGTAAACCTAAAGTTTCCCCCATTATTTTTGGCCTGTATGCACAAGCGACAGTACCAACAAAAGTCTTTCCTACACAAAGTCAACAACAAAGTGAAGAAATACAAAAAAAAACTTAAACGAATTGAATAAATGTACACACTCAGTCGCACAGAACTCCCCTCGCACATACTCACGTCAAACAATTGAAAAATATGGAAAATGCAGGCCAAGAATGGTAAATTGTATTGCTCAAAAAAACAAAAAACAAGAAAACTAAGAAGACGTTGAATGTATTTAGGGGAAAATGTTAAAAGAAAAGTGGAGAAGGTGACTTATTTGCCATGTACGTACAAAAGTACTTTGGCCAAGCTTGATCAAAACTTCTACCGAACTAAAAAAGCTGGGAATGGACAAAAAATATGTTTAAAATTGGTTTTAGAAAAAACAATAAGTGAACGGAACAACGAATTGTGAATGAACTACGGTTGAGTCTTGGGAGATGCAAGTGAAGCCATCACAAATGACACAACATTCACCGAACCTTTTTCGTGTTTTTTTTTCCGAAATATAAATAGTTTACTTAACCATTGTCAACTTAAAAAAAAAGAGCAATTGCTATAACCAAATCAGCTCAAAGAGTCTAGTACACCTAGAGAGGTTTTAGAGATATATCTAGCATATCTAGTAAACGGAATAAGAATCAAAGGGTAACCTTAATTCAAAATGAGAAGGGGCAGAAGGAAAAAACTAAACATGAAGCCGGGTCAGAAAGGGAACGAACCTTAAAACCTAGGTAGACTCGAACTTGACACTTTTACGGACAGAATTACTTCGGAACTCAACCCACACTACCTACTACTTCAAAATCGAGACTGATTTTACTGCTCCTCCAAAAACATCACCATATATATACATATATATATATATCCCTGATCTGGAAATGTGGAAAACAAAGTAAACACACACGCATATAACCTGACAACCTGAATTCCATTTCACCAAAACATTTTGCGTACACTATTTGACACGGTAATTTAAGAATACATTTACAAATTCTATAACCTATCGGTTGAATAAGATTGAATATATACACACAACTACTTGAATATATCTTATATATATATATGATTATATACCCCTATTATACATACATATATGTGTACAAACTATACACGATGGAATATTTACACACAAGTTTTACTCTGTGCCATTTGGGTGCAATAAGTTAAGTTGAACCAAACTTTATACGAATTTCTGGCTCGTTCAGCGGCATTTTAATGGGAATCCATTTGACTAATGGTTAACATTTTCTTATATATATCATTTAAATGTGATACCCGTACGGAGGTTTAGTTGTAGCAAACAAAAAAGGTGTTTTCCTACCTACTATCAGCCTTTTATAGTTTGTCAAACTTCTCCATCTATACTTCCCATCTTCGCTCCGTTCGCTTTAAAATCAAAATACGTGAAACAATACATTAAGTTACATTTCCCTTAAGGAATCACTTTTTTTAACTTACAAAATTGTATACAAATCAAAAAGATACTGTAGTTGAGATTATATTATACACGAATATACACAGACATTCACACACACACACACTCACGAATAAATACCTAAACATTTTTTGATGTACGTTAAAAGTTTATGATATGTGTGTGTAAAAAAGCTCTACTTGTATTTATATTCGTATTTAAAGTGACATACGATATAATTTGCTTTTCCCATAATAATTCCGAGGGATTTCAAAGTTTCCGAGCAAAGCAATTGATTTTAGGTAAGCAAAGGCAATGATGGTTCCATGTGGAAATACTTACATATGTATATGTAAATTACCACCATTTAGTACGTATGCTATATGCATTTGTAATTCATGAAACAATTTTTTTTTTTTTTTTTGAAACTTTGATTCAATCAAATTGAATTCAAATATTTTACTCTACGTGTACAATTTAATTACAGCTTATATCTGCATTAATCGCAAGTCTTTTAATTTGGGAAGGGATGGAAGAAAGTGAAAATGGGAATTTCGCAGGCTGCTCTCTCCTTGCTAATTAAGGCCAAGGCCCAGGGACTTTAAGAGATGCCAAAGGATTTCATCACGCCTCGCCACATAACTGCAACGCATAGTTTCCAATTAAAAGTTACTTCTTCCAGGAATTTGACAAATGGTCCGGCACTTAATCAATGTAGCGCCTCGACTTCCAAAAATGCTTTATTTTGCGGCTTAGTTGGGATTCCTCTGCCCGTGGAAGTGGTAGCAAGTGGGCTCCATAAATGACTAATCAAAATACCAGCGACGACGGGACCTAGGGAAAAATAAAAGGGGTGGCAATAGCTTGATGGAAAACATTAATTATGCTGCTTCGATGGTCTATGCTGAATTAAAAAAGCCACAATCATTTTAATTAAGACGCAGATAAGTATTATGGATAAAAAAAAACGTTTGGATTCGTAAAAAAAAAAAATAAGTCAAAAAATAGCGTTATCCGGAGATTAAAGGCTTTAAAAGATTGGAAGTCTCTATGTTTCCATATGTTACAGTGCAGTTTCTTTGTGGCTTTTTCAGACATCGGCTTTCTGGTCAAGGAAATTTGTTAGCTAAATGTAAGTCTTATGGTCTCATACATCTAAGAAGCATCTCTTGTGATTTGTGGCGAACGAATTTAAGTTCTGGTAAGAACATGCCTTTATTGTACATCATGTCAACTTCAGCCCAACCTGCGGCTAATTTCATAATGCAATTGGAGTTTCAATGCAAATTAAATCTAATCAAATGGGAGGAAGAATTTTATCACAGAACGGAATACCTAACAAAAATCGACCGCAAAATGTGTCCGAAACTGCAAAAACCGGAAATGTCCAGCCGATTCCGATTTAGATGTAAATGAAGCGGAGAAAATCAAAAACATTCTGCATTTGGGTTGTACATTTTCGACTTTTTATTCGTTATAAATTACAAAAAATAAATTATTGGATCGAAATAAATAAATGAAATTTTCAGGGGACCCTTAAGCACTACGCACTACAAACTATATTTCTCCGACCAGCTGCGGCGGTACAAAGTATTTACACTGTTGCCTAGCATGTTGGCAAACTCGCGCTGGCCGCTCAGTTGAAAAAATCCAGGATGCCATTGAGCAGCTCATAGGCAAATCCTGTCTCGTCCGTCGCCTCTGCGGCGGCCTTCTTCTTCTTGTTCTTTTTCGTTTTCTTGGACTTTTTGGACTTGGGCGTGGTGGAATCATCGACAGCTGCAGCGGGTGCCGGAGTAACGGCTGCGATTACTTCTCCTTCAATTGGAGCAGCAGCAGCAGCAGCTACAGCAGTCTCACCAACAGCAGCTCCGGAATCGTCCTTGCTCTGCACCTGGTCAGTGGTCGATGTCGTCTGATCATCGGCACTCACATGCTCACGGGTTTGATCCACGGCAGCCGTAACCGCTGGCTTCTTCGCCGGCTTCTCATCTTCGTCGTCATCGAGCTCATCCAGAAGTCCGGCTAAACTGAAGCCACCGTAGTCGGCATCCTCGGGCGCCTCGGCCTCATCATCATCGGCATAGTCCTCGGTGTCATCGTCGTCATCGGTGTCTGCATCCGCATCGCTGTCATAGTCTTCCTCATCCTCCTCGTCATCGTCGCCACCAGCTGGAAAAATATACAAAATTGGTTTAAAATATTTGATGTCAGGAATTTAAACATTCAAAGGGATCTAGATTTGCACTCGCTAATGATTGTTAAAAGATGATATTCTAGTAGTCTTATAATGGAGTAAAAATTAAGTATACGTAAATTCAGTCCGAAGGTTTTTCAGGAAAAGCCAAATCACACCAGCTTACCTGCAAATCCAAAGATGTCATCATCGTCATCATCATCATCATCCGAACCTGCAGGGAATGGCTCCGCCTCTGCCACTCGGAGACCTTCCGGTCCAAACTTGAAACAGGAGACACGCAGCGAAGCCTCAACCTCTTCGTCGGCACGCAATTCGAAGGCCAGACAGGCCTTGAAGTCCTTAGAATCCTTGGAACGGGACAGACCGTATACCTTGCCGCAGAACTCAGTATCACCGCCAGGAAGGCCCACGCATATTGGACGAGACCGCTTGGTGGAAATGCGACGCGAGGCCAAAGTGATGTCGCCGTATTTCAAGGACACGTTCATCTCATCGTTTCCCAAAAAGGCAATCTTTGCACAACCTGGCCTGGTGGACAGCAATGGCAATCCAAATTTCCGGCAGCAATCGCAGTGGGTTTCCGTACATTTGCAGAACTTGCTGATGGGATTCTCAGGCTGAGCTGTGGTGGTGGGAGCAGTAGTCGGCTTGGCGGCCAAGGTGGTGGCTACCGCTGGAGCAGCTGCAGCTTCAGCAACAGCGGCTTCGGGAACTGCCACTTCTGGGACAGAAGCCACAGCATTCGGGGTCTCTACATCTCCGCTGGCAATCTCATTGACACTCTCATCGATCACTGAAGCTGGACTTACGGCATCAGCCAAATCCTCGACTTTGGGTGGCTCCGATTCTGGTGGGGCAACATTCGGATCGATTTCCTCTGGCGGCAGATCCAATTGCTTAAAGTTCTCCGAAATCTTGTCCGTGCGTCTAAAGATAGTCTTGCCCTCTATTTGAAGAACGCAGGCACTGGCCACCAGAAGCAGCATGAGCAACATGTTACTAGTGCTGGTCATCTTGATAGGGAACTGGAATTGAGCAAGTTAAACAATATAGCAAAATATAGCAAGATATTTGAATAAAGAGAAATGCGTACTAAGATTAAAAATCAACAAAACAATTTCAAGTTGACTTGCCTATAAATTTCGATATCTATAAAAAATCGATTAATCAAAAAGAAAGTATTCTATTTTAAGCATATTTTTTAGCTACAAACTAGTAATTTTTTTGAGAACTAAAAAGTTTCTTAAAAGATATTTTTGGTAATTAACTTTCATTTTTTTAAAAAATGTTTTTGAAACACACTTTTTTTTTACATATCGAAGCTTTAATCTTAAAAAAGCAAACTACTCTTTCACAAACCAACAAATTATTCAAATAAATGGGAAAAACAATTTGTTTTTTTTTCTGCGTAGGCAGAATTCGCATCCGAATCGGAATTCGAAATCGAAATCAAAGTGGAGCGGTCGAGGAAGGTGGGTACAAAAACCAAGAGGTATTCCAAAAGTCAACAGCTCGGAAATCGCTTTCAAGTGGCCAACGATTAAATTTCACCGCATTCTTCCTCCACTTTATTTATTTTTTGTTGTGTTATTTTTTTTTTTTTTTTGTCCGCCTCGTATTTTGCAAAAGAAATGAATTTAAATAAATATTGACATAATTTCTTTCACTTCTTTTGCTACCCGATTCGTTTTCATCTCGGTCTCTGCTTCTCTTAATTTCTTTTCAAATGCAAAGTAAACAAATTAACACCGAAAATCAATGGCTTTGAATACTAAAAAAGAAAGAAAAAAGCCCGAATATAACAATAGACCGCGAAGAGACAAAAAACGAGAGTGAAATCTCTCCGTAAAGTTATTTAATTGACGATTTGGGTTAGGCTTATTAGAATAGCCGCCATGCATATATACGAGTATGCATGTTTGTAGATATATACCATCATCATCCACTTTGAAATTCATTCATTTCGGAAGAGCCAACAAGTTGGAGCTCGTTGCCAACTCAAACTTGGCTCTTGTGTTTTTTATTTTTGGGGTGGCAGGGGGAGTCACCGTCGGCAAAGTGAAATTTCAGCTATTGACTCATTTACCTCAAGTGCTTGATGGCAGGAGGAGGTAGGGAGGAGTAAGGGAGCAGAGCGCCCCAAGATGTTCAAATCAATTAGCGGCTCTTAACTGGAGCTCAACTGGCGGAGAAACCCAAAAGGTTCAGACAAGAGCAGAACTATTTTTCAATAAATATGTATAACGGTTAAGGCAGCAGCAAGGTGTGGACAAGACCTTCTAGTTCTAAGATACATATTCATCTTAAACGATAAACTTTGTATAAGGAATCTATAAAAGTTATTCATATACTGATCCAGATATTAATTAAGGCATTAGAACAGTAGTAGTAGAGCAAGTATTTCAAAATGCATACAACATTTATATTTTGATTTAAATTTACCAGATTTAGTTTAGTGGCCATTAAGAAAAAATTTCCTGTTCAAAACCCTGCAGCACCACCTTCACTCGTATATATGCATATTTCCTTTCATACATTATGTCTTCCCAGAAGATTTTATGTAATTTTGAATGGCAACATGAGATGATGATAATCCATGCTACTATAACTGGCTTATTGCCGAGTATTATCTGCGTTACTTGGCTACCCAACCTAATGATGCCCATTTCCTTACATCATTTTCATTTCCATCATTTCTGTCTGGGAACGGTAAATAATATACATAAATCCAGAAATATCTGACCGACCAGTTTGAACCTGCTCCACAGCCACTTTGTTCCACTTTCATTTTTCTGTGTACCGCCTCCTTGTTTTTCTCGGTTTTTCTTGGCCCTCTTAAATAGTACGTGGCCTAACAGCGTGATATGTTGCGGTATCTGGACATTCCATTCCATTGATGACCTTCCGCTTGGGTGGAACAACAAACACCATTTGTGACCCAGTTGGTGGTGGGCTATTTGGTCAAAGAAAGTGTGTATGGCCAAATATGGCCGTGGCACAAAGTCTCGATACAAGTCCAAGACCGAGAATGAATGTCCGTAATAATAACGCCAGTGGCAGTGGCATTGGCAATAGCAATATTATTATGTTAACTGTGACCAATACCGATGACAGTCGGTAGTAATTTGACCATAATCATGGTTAGCCGACATGGCTAAGATTAAATGGGCAAGCATATATAGATGCTTAAAAGGTTAAGCCATACAATAATATTATCTTTTTTAATGAAATTTTTATGAACCCTTTTTTACTATTTTGGTTTTTTTTTCCCAATTTTAAATACTCTGATATTTTTGGCCATGTAAACTATTTAACTTCTTAATAATTTCACCAGGGGTCAAACAAAAATTCCAATACGTAATCGGGGCCCACGAAAGTCCAGTTTCGGGCCCTAATTTGCATATCGCATTTGGAAACGAAAACCGAAATTAATATATATATATATATATATATAGGTCCACGTGTATTGGGCCCCTCTCTCACTCCCACTTTTTGTTTGTTTTCAAGCATTTTCGAATTTTGTCAATAAATTATAACGGTTGTGAAAAGTTATTAGCATTAATTAATTATTAAACGCATAGGAAAATAGAAAGTGAGACAGTGTGTGGTAGTGTTTTTTCTTCTTCTTGTGTCCGAAATTATCATAACACAATCTGATATTTATTTTTGATTTTTTCTTTTAGGCGGAGGGGGGCTTGCTCATCGAAATCGATATCGAACTGTTAATTATTCAGTGCGGCAGCGAAAGTGTAAGAGTGATGCAAAAAATTCCAAGAAAAAAAAACCTTAATTTTTGTGGGTTTTTTTTTTTGTCTCGCATGCCCATTATAATTTCTTGTTTATATATTTCTTTTCTTTTCCTTTTTTTCGATTTTGATTTTGGATGCTATGGCATCTGTGCTCCCAATCCACGGTCGGTGATTATGAAACCAGCGAGCTTCGATTATGCTAAACAGTTTGTTAGACTTTTACATCCTTTAGTGTGGTTTATATAACCCCATGCACACGGTCGTCGTATAAAGCCTAAAGAAATTTGCATAATTTTTTGTTTTTTTTTTTTCGGCTGCTGTGAGATTTTTCTGCCTGATTTGTGTTTTTTGTTTTTGTGTTTCTTCACTGCCTGTGTGTGTGTGTGTGTGTGCTTACCACTTTCTTCTGCCTGTGTGTAGGTGAAATCGGTGGGCAACAACAACAGTAACAACATCAACGATAATACAAAGCGAAGAGGAGGTTAAAATCAAAGTTACCATAATAATGATGACCATGTCGGGAGACCTATGCCAAAATTAAGGTTAAGTTCTTTAATGCAGCCAACGGTGAAATTTTGTGTTTGCCATGGGCGTGGGTGAACAAAAGTGGAAAGAGGAAAGCGGTCGGTATTTCCGGTCAAGGCTGACCCGATGGACCAGAAAATTAGCCAGCTTTGAGCTGGGAAACCTCGGATTCCAGCGTTCAGTTCGATACAAAGGCAAAGGCAAAGAGTTTAATTTTGAAGTTGGTACTTTGTTTAGGAGCTATACACTTAGATTCGAATCCCTTTATTTAAGATAATATATTTCCCAATTTTATCTTTTCAAATTGCTTGCTTGGTTAAAGCTTAATAATCAAATACTAAGAGCATAATAATAATGGCTTGAAAGTCTTTTTCATAAAGGATTAAATGATATTGAAGATAATGCGGTTTCTTTATGAATAAAGTAATAATCAGATATGAATAAAAAAAAAACAAAAGATTGCTTTTTGGTAGAAGACCAGCTACCCGCTGTTATCCAGCTGGCTTTGAGCATCAATTACCCGGCGCAGCCTTTACGCTTCTCTTGGCCAAGATCAACCACCTGAACAAAAAGTTGGTTTTTTTGGACCAGCTGGTCAACAATCAAACAGACAGTTCCACTTTCCAGCACCTGAGACTTTGGACATTGGACAACAGGCGACGGACGGCAGTCGGCGGACGGCGAAGAATGCGGCGATGTTGATGGTGATGGGTTGTAGAAAGTAAAACGAAGAACTCGAACGCTCAACGTGTTTCTTTTGTTTTGCCAAATTCAAATAAGTTAATGACAAGGAGAAGAAGAACGCACAGAAGCGGATGGCCAGCAACATAGATGGAGATCTGGAGAGTTCGGAGCGGCGGGTGTTTGAGGGGATATACTCGCAAGTATACTGGCTAAAGTGGGGGCCAAACTGGTTGACACAATTCCACAATTCCAAACGCCGACTGGCGACTGGCGACTTTTACGTGCAATTGCCACTTTGGCTGCCTTTGGCTTTGGTTTTTCCAACTCCATTGCTCATCATTATTGGCCCACTTGAGTGTCGACCGTGTTTCACCTTTTTGTAAATATCATTTACCTATGACTTTTTTATCCTGGTATCCTGTGGTCAATAATTTTATAGCTGCTACTCCCGGACACACTTCCGTATTGCACTTGGAACACAAAAAAAACTAAGGCACTCCGTGAAAAAAAAAATTATAAAGGTTTTAACTTTGCGCGCGTGTTGAAAGATAGATGATGGTTGATTTTCCCGCTTTGCTAGGAAATCTAGGGCCAAGGCTGCTATTTTATAAGACTGAAGAAGACTGAACTCAACGCTCGGGGACGCGGAACTCGACTGCGCGGACTTGGAGCCACCAGGCCGAGTTATGGGCGATTACACGGGTTGGGGCCACAGCTGATCGAACCAACAACAGCGGCAGCTTTCTTTTCGCATCGAACGTGTTCGGGGCTCTTCGGCGGCAGTTCGTCGGCAGGCGGCACCTGCTCTATGGTATAGAGCTTATAGTACGCACTAGGCCAAGATCCAAACTTATGGCAGAGGCCTAACGGTAATGCGCCGATCTATGGGCACGTAGCACGTAGCACGCTGCATGCAATTAACCCACAACACAGAAAGAAATGATATAGATATCCTATTGACTTTGAATTAACGAAGCTGATCTTATATTTCCATATGAGGCTCTTCTTAAATTGGCCCGAAGCTGTTAGGCAACGTAATGTTGCACGGCCCTAGTTCCCAAATATAACCAAAAAATTTAAATCTTTAGCCCATTAGCAAGAAATCATCGAAACATAAAGAAGATCTAAATAATTTAATATATAAATTACACATTTTTAGTTTGCGTGCACGCAGACTCTCCTTCCTCTTCCTCGTTACAAGTTGGGTGATTTTTCATCAACCTGATGATGGATTACAAAAGAGGATTTCTTTGTCTAGCTATGAGCTCCCCTGATGAGTAATACTGTTGTGCACACCTTGAGAGAATGCAAGCCTTGAACTCCACCGGTAGACAAAGAATATCATACATCCTTGATCATCCCCACACCTTAAAGCTACGTGATCGGTTTTAACTGACATATTTATGGAATGTATAAAATATATAAAGCGATCCTGACAGTCATTCATATTCTCATTTATCATACACATTTAAGTGCGTAAGATATTTAAAAGAAGATGACTAATAGGAATTAACCAGTTCGTATAACTGGAAATTAAAGATTACCAAGTATTTTTTTTAAGTCCCAGAAAAAAACATTTGTACAACAAAATCTGAGTATTTTCTCAGCTTAAAATCATTTATAAATTTAATAGAAACATTTTTCAAGAGATAGTAGATGTGCTTTCTACGGCAAAAACTTGAAATCGTTCGATACACAACAACTCGTTTGACGTCTTGTCTTATCCAATTTTTATGTAACCCCATAACGACCCGTGATTATTTGTCCAATCGATTGACATTTTAAGCTTTGACTAATGAAGCATCCAAAAGACTTGCAGACGTAAGAGAAAATATGTATTAAAGTCAAATTTTAAGGAAAACATTTTAGATTATGCAAAAAATAATCATGAGAGTTAATATCAGAGGCGATCGCTTCATTGACATCTATAAGACTATTTCGCCTAAGCTAATACAGTGATTTTTTTTAACGAACACTTGCCTTTAGCATTCTCATTTCTCTCCTTTCAGGGAATTGCAGTTTTCAAGCCGATACACAAGAGAGCTAATATCGCAGTTCCATATTGTTCGGGGCGAATAAGATGGGTAAATAAATAAGTTATTAGACAGAGCGTTTAAGGGAATGTTTGAAAACATGTTTTAATAATTGATTTATCATTCACATATGTAGTTGTTGTATAAGTATGCATTTTCTATATAGTAGTTAACATATGGTGCTGATTCTTTCCTTTCTCTACATTCAATTTGAACTTTTTTCGTTCCGTTCGATAATTATACATATGTACACAAAAACGAAGCCCTGAAGGGACACTATGGGTCTCCCAAATACATATTATATAGTTATCTATAGGCCAATATTGATAACAATCGGGGGAGGAGTGGCGGAATCGGAGAAATCTGTAAGTATGGGTCTGAACACTTGACAAAAGTTTGCCTGGGCCGGCAATAATACTCGCAACAAAACTACATACAAATATACAGACACAGTATCATAATATAATATACATTAAACAATTCAATAACAAGGGTAGGGGACAAACAAAAAAAAAAACGCATATCGAAAGGCAGGAAAAAAAAAAACGTATAATATTATTTGTATGCCAAATGGTTAGCGATCATCTAGCTCGCTTAGAAGATGGGTATGTAGTTGTCGATCTTTGCGCGATGCTTCTGGGCGACGCACTCAGCGATCCAGACGATGTTGCGGCACTCCTGCTCCTTGAGCTTGAGGTACGCGTAGAAGACTCCAAAGTGGAACTGTTGCAAGAAAGCGTACACATTCAGCTTGACTTCGTGTTCGAAGAACTTGTCCTCTAGCGTCTTGTCACCGGGATTGTTGCCGGATCCGTCGAACAGAGCGGCGTACTCTGCGTAATATTCAGCCACGGTCTTAACCTGCTCGTAGTCGTCAGCCCGAGCTAGAGCAGCTAGACCATCGGGGTACATCTTGCCGCAGTTGGGATACAGCTTGGCACGGTCGTCCTTGGACAGCTCGGTGCCAAAGGAATTGATGGTAATGATGATTGCACGACGATCGGCCTCGAACTGCAATGGAAAGTATAATCATTATTTAATCATTTAAAATAACACAAGAAAGGTATAGGTAACATTTTGCTTGCTCATAGTTATAAGCCTGAATATAAAAACTTAATAGCCAAGCAATTCGTTAAGATTCTTAAATGCCTTTCTTTCTGAATAACCACTTACAGCCAAGATCTCGCACATAACGTCGGCGGTGGCGCCGCCCATGTTCTTGCAGAAGTTGTAGAACGCCTCCAGATAAGCCTTGTAGAGGGTGTTACGAATGATCTCAATGTTCATCTCATCCAGATCCTGCTCGGAAATGCAGTCGACGAAGAAGGGAGCCAGAGGCGTGTCCACCAGGACGGCGTTGTACAGCTCCGCCGGCGTGGACGCCACATGGATAGCTTCCATCTGCTCGAAGCTGCCCAGTGGGTGGCACTTGGGGATCAGCTCGGAGATGGGACGCTGGTGCAGCGTGCCGGTGATCAGCAGGATGATGTTGTCGATCATATAGCCGTAGGTAATGAAGTCCAGGAAGTTGGACAGCGGCTCGACAGCATGGTTTCGCATATGCTGGAACTCGATGACCAACTTCTCGCGCAACTTGTCGTCGATTACAGACACCGACAAGGGTGATGGCTCGTTAGCCAGGAAGCTGCCGTAGTCCGTTCCCTGCAGATGCAGCTTGAGATCTGTAAAGTTAAAGGAAAATGAAATTTAAAATACCATTTTGACACTCTGCCCATCATAAAACTAGATGACCTTATAGAAACTGTGAGGACTCAGGAAATGAGATTTACGAGTATATTCTACAGGACAAATATCACATTTTTTCTTGATTTATATCATATAGATATGCATGTAAAATGAGGTAAATTACAAACAGGGAGCTGGTTCTAGATCATTTTTTCGAGTCATTGGAGTTAGCTCTTGGGAAAAGGGTTTTACGGCTTCTATGTGACCCTGAGTCTTCAGTGACCCTGAATCAAGGTATCTGTAATATCCAGGAAAAATTACCAGAGGCCAGATAAAAAACCAGTTGAAAAACGTCAACAAATCACAAGACAAGCTTACACACACCGGCGCAATGAAACATTAACAGCAGTGCATGTATACATACACACACGCACGCCGCTGTTATCGCTGGTCATGTGACCCAGGGGCGTGTGGGAAAATGGGGTCTATGGGGGACTCGGTTCCAATGGAGTTCTCTGCGGTAACCACTCACCCTCCAAGGTCTCGCACTGCACCAGGTTCAGGTAGTCGGCCTGCTTGAGGATGCCGCACTTGAAGCCCCGGCACAGACCCTCCAGATATCCATTATCGATGTTGAACATAAATCCCGAGCTGTTCATCTTGATGACACACGCACACACACACGTTGAGCTGGCTGGAAGTTGAAAAGGTGTCGAATTCCACTGGATTTCTGGATTCCTTTTGATTTGGCTGCTCTCGCTCGACCGAAAGTTGCGCGAATTGTGTGACAAAGGGCGTACAGTTCGAAACGGAGCGACGGTGAAAATTCAACCTTTTTTCTCTATCGATCGACAAGTCATATGATTTCCACCTTTTCTTCTTCTTGTTTTTTCTTGTCCAAATGTCAGCGCAAAAGGTGCTAAAAATGGCCATATGTCAGCTGACAGTGTGCGCCTTACAGCACGCTGTTAAGATGACCGCTAGTCTGGCAACGCCGAGCCAATTTGAACTTAAATATAATTTTGTTTATACATATATATATTAGGAATCCATTTAATTTATTTTTGATTATTTCTCAGTTCCCCGTAAATTGTTCAAGTTATAAAACAGTTATTTATCCAGCATATTATTTTTGATAATATTTATTTGAATATATACAAAAGAAGTGTACACAGAAAAGGTAACTGTTATTTACTGTTATGTATTTTTTAACGCATCTTAGTATCCTTAGTCTCTTTTGAATTGGTCGAGATCCTGCCACTTCCGTTCCCGCTCCCTGCGTCTAGCTCTTCTCTCGGTGAGGGCCGCCACCTCATCATATGGCTTATAGTAGTAGGCCACAAACATGAAGATCAACATGTCGACGAACATCAAGCCGGCGAACAGAAAGAACTCGCTAGCCTGCGAATCAAAGAACTTAAGTTCTGCGATTACTACGACAATGACGTTGCCAAAGGCGACTGTTAGCAGCCAACAAGCCTGCAGCACACTCTTCATGCTGGGTGGTGACTGGGAGTAGGAGAATCCCAATCCGGTCACGGAGAACATCACCTCCCCAAGCGTCATCACCACGTACTGCGGTACCAGCCAGAGCATGTGCATGGAATTGGGGCTGGTGACCTCGATTTGTCGCGATACGAATGTCCCGTGACTCTGCCCAATCAGCAAGGCATAGACGCCTCCAGCTCGCAACTCCAATTGGGTGAGATTCTGATCCGCCACCTGGACACTATATCCGCCCGTATTCAGCTCGTATAGATCGTGATTGCGGGCGGGCAGATCCAGGGCAACATTCTCCCCGGAATTCTCTGTCCAAACCACCCGAGTGGTGGCCAGCAGATTTGCTAGTGTCCGAACAAAGGCCCATGAGCGATTGGACTTCTGAACCTCATCCACGTACCAGTACTTAACAATCGCGTGAGAAGGTCGCAGGAATAACGAGTGGGCGGTGGCCTCGTATAGCTGTTGGGTACCGCCCTCCAGAGTGGAGCACCCTAAGGAGTATACATTGGGAAGATATCAACTGTGATAAGTTTTTGAAAGCAAGCAAACTACAACAGTACAACCGCAACTGGTAAGGAACCTTTGGATTCTTAAAAAATTATTTTAGCCAACCAACGTCATTCTTTGGGACTCTAAATGTGACAGCCCCTGATATCTTTTAATGATATAATCGTATTAATGATTACAATCTATGGTGTCACGCTTATCTGTAATGAAGCAACTAACGGAGTTGGATGTAAGTCTCATTTAAGTTTTGAAAAATCCAATTAGATAATTTCTTAATACGAGGAAAACATTATAATTATCATTTCTTATAAGAAAACTCACCGTCGGTTAGACTTTCCACTGTGTAGGTTAACTTGAAGGTGCCATCAGCGCTTGTAGCCACACTACCTGAATAATAGTAGTCCAGACCCCTTAAAGTAAAGCTTTCACGAGCTCCGATGTTCGTATTAAAGCGATAATCGCAGTCGGGGATACCGCTAAAGACTCGAAGTTGGGTATTACCACTACTCGGAATCAATGGGTAAGTGTGCTGCAAAGGATGGAAATATAGATAGGAACTCCTATATACATAGAACCAAAACTCCTATTATTGGATACCTCTATTCTTCTCTGTACTACTTAAATCCTTCCTAGCATTTATACATTCGAGCACCATGCAAAATCACCAGATTTATATTTTAATACGGACTTCAATACAGAGTATTACAGATAGCACAATTTAGATAGAAAAATACATCTAAGAACAAAAAGCATACATAGGATAGAATATAGTAATAACACGCAACGAGTTTATATTAATTGTTTTCTTTTATTAGATTAACTAGATGGATGTCTTTTCATATGCAACAACGCCCGGTCGGAGCTTCACTTACACTTAGCTTGGGAATGGACAGAGGCCACTAAGGATTTACATATACACATCTACAAATACAAATACATATAATACACAACGCAGGAGCGAGCAGGACAAATCGGATCGAGGGTCTACTCATTGATTTCCTTGCCCTTGTTCTCGACTCCACCCTCGAGGGGAGGTATCTCGGCCTTGGCATCGCCCGCCGTCAAGGGCTGGGCTTCCTCTTCCTTGTTGGGATCATTGGGGACGTAGTAGTATGCCATTACCATGAAGATCAGCATGTCGGCAAACATGAGGCCGGCGAACAGGAAGAACTCGCTCGCCTGCGATTCGAACAACGCCGCCTCAGCAATGATAACCACAATGACGTTGCCAAAGGCCACTGTTAGCAGCCAGCAGGCTTGCAGGACACTTTTCATGCTGGGCGGTGCCTGGGCATAGGAAAACTCTAGACCCGTTACGGAGAACATCACCTCGCCAAGAGTCATTACCACGTACTGCGGCACCAACCAGAGGATGTTCATCGAATTGGGTTCCGTCACTTCCACCAGATTGCCCTCAAACTGATCATTGATTAGAAGAGTGTACACTCCACCGGTATGTACATTAAATGTCCCAACGGTTTTGTCGTCCACCAGGACTTCATATTCTGCCGAATTTACACGTGTGAGCAGGGCGTTACTGGCCAATTCCGCATAGGCATCCTCTCCCTTCGAAACACTGTGCCAACGGATCGTCTGGCCCTGCGGCACATTAGCAACATTCCGGATCAGCGGATAACTTTCGCTCGGCTTGTCCACAAAGTCTTCCTCCCAAAAGTATTTTGTGCCATTGCTGGGATTTAGGAACAGCGACCAGGCTGTTTTCTCAGTCAAGACCTTTGTCTCCGAGATTTCAATGGTACAGTCCGCATTGCTACTTCGAAGAGTGTACTCCAAGTTCTGGGAACCAGATAAATAGATGTCCTTGTTGGTATAGACATTGAAAGAGGGCACTATCACGCTCTCCAATCCCGGAAGATTCGAGGTGAAGGTATAATCACAGTTCTCAGGGTTGAAGATGCGCAGCTGGATGTTCTGGCTGTAGGGCAGGTCGGGATATGTTTTCTAGCAACAGCAAGGCGTGCAACGAGAAAAAAAGGGGAAAGTGCAGGTGCAGGTGCAAATACAGTACAATACAATATATATATAAGCAATACTAATAAACAACCCTACTCCTTAGGACCACTCACCTCCAGATTAAGCTCTACCACGCCAGAAATGATAAAGGCAATGCCGGCCAGGATACCGCCCATCGTAAGTTTCTGCAGTGGTCGACGGATGCCTACTAGTCGCAGTGCTGGATAGAAGGCCACATCGTACAGGGGAATGAAGAGGAGAATGAGCAGGGGATTGAGCACTTGCAGCTGGTCGGGCTTGATGTTCCAGGAGCCCATGTCGCCGTCCATTCGAGTTGCCTGGAAGGTCCAGCGTGAGCCCTGCTGATCGAATAGTGCCCAGAAGACCGGAAGTGGCAGGTAAAGGAAAAGCACTCGCATCAGGACTTTAACGTCGTCGATCAACTGGCGGTCGTACTTGACATCGGCATAGTCTAGCCAGTGTTCCCTAGGATTGGTCTTCTTCTGCTTGCACTTGGTAGTTATAGCCGTCCAGATTGTACTGCTCACCAGCACCACCATATTACCGGCCGGGGGCTTCATCTTGTAAAGGGATCGACCCAACACGAAGATAATTACTGAGATAATCATCAGTACGGCCGGTACTCCAAAGGCCAAGGGGTAGCAATTGATGTCGTCGAAACAGGACACATCCTCGCGCAGGATAGGTGTCACAGTAGTGGAGATCAGCGATCCGGCATTAATCGAAAAGTAGAAGAGTGAGAAGAACGAGGTGATCTGTTTCACCTGCTCCGGCACCTTGAACTGATCGCCGCCGAATGCCGACACACAAGGCTTAATTCCACCCGATCCGAGGGCAATTAGCGCCAGGCCCAGCATTGTGAACGTCTCCATAGGTAGGTTAAGTGGTCCAATGGCTCCCAGGGTCAATAGAACAGATCCGCATATATAAACCAACGATAAATACAGGATCGTCTTAAATTTGCCAAGCCAAGAGTCCGAAATAATAGCACCAAACACACATAGGAAGTAAACGAACATGGTAAAGACGTGGAAGACGACGGTGGCTGTGTCATCGGAATATCCCAGAACTCGGCTCAGATATAGAACCAATACAGCTGTAAAAAATGCAATACATTTAGCAAAGACACAGTGCAAGGATTCCTCTGGATTCACCCACTTCTCATGCCGTAGTAGTTGAAACGCTCGCAGAACTCGTTACTGATGATAAAGAACACGGACTTGGGATAAGGCAGTTTCTAAGGATTAGGACAATCAGCCATGGTAAGTTGGAGTTTTAAAAGGAAAATGTATTAAGTTTTACCTTCTGCTGACCCTCAGCCTCGGAGACGTTCTTGAAGTCATTGGCCTCCTGCAGTTCCTTGCCATTCTGCTCGGGCTCCTTGCCATTTTTTTCGGGTTCCGCGGAAATTTCGGGCAGCTTCTTGGCCTCCACCAATGCCTTGCCATTAGTCTCGACGGCGGGTTGACTTTCAGAAAGTGCAGCAATCGGCGTAGAGTCCTCTAAGGTGGCAACACTTGGGGTGGTGTCCTCAACAGGTGCAACACTTGGAGTGGAATCCTCTACGACCGAAGGATTCGCAGGCGCGATCTCAGCAGCTTCAGAAATCACTGGTTCAGCCGCAGGCTGTATTTCTGCGGACGAGAGAAGGATCGAGGTCAGAATTTATCAGTCAAGTACTTGGCAAGAATATTAGAGCCCACCCAACAGGGGTACTTGCTCCGCCGGCCGTTCCATTTCGTCTGCCCACACAGATTCGTAAGGGATCTGTTAGATTGGCAACATTTCATCAGAATAGGTAAACCGTAACCGAAACCGAGACTTGTGGCCTTGTGCTTGACACCTCCGCCGCAGATAAGGACTGCTCTATATTTGGCCAGGCCTTTAGTCTGCCCGTGGGCGTGTGAATTCGGTGGCCCGGAATAAATTAACCAGCATTAGCCGTACAGCGTTTACGTGGTTTACGACAATGGCCGACAGATAACCCAGCTAGGAAAGATAGCTCTCTCGGGGATCGTCTCTGCTTTACCTTGCTAACTTGTCTGAGAGTATGGCTTTCCACTCCATAAATAACATGCTGATGACTGACTGTGATGCTGTGTATGAATGTCTGGTGGGTCTTAAATGGTCATGTCCATATGGATTGAATGGTAATTGCAGCAAGTGCCTTTGGTCATGGTCATAGCCATGTTTAGGCAACTGTATTTGGATCTGGATCTGGATTGATGTTCAGGAAATCAACTGGGGAAGTCCCTATTGATAAACTGTGAATGGGCTTTATCATCTAGCCGCTATATCCAGAATCGGTTCAGTTTCGGCGCTAATCCATCGATGTTTTATCAGCGTTTATGGACGCCATTTGAAGCAATAATGTAGCCATAACATGGCACCATAAACCGTGGAAACAATGCTATTGCACGCACTACACTCCACATCAAACATCCATTAACATAAAAAAGCCTTATCGCAGGGGAACACAAATATACAACATATAAGAGTATCAGACGTGTACAGCATTGACCCGCTTCGGCGGCCGTTTAAAGTCGGGATACCAGGCATATTAATCACCTCCTTTACTCAAAATCAACTCATTCATTCATTTTCAGGTGGTAATGGTATATGGCCGATAGTACTTGGGATATGTGTCAATGTCACAGAGGATGGAGAATTGGTCTTCAAACAGGAATATTTTTCGATCGGAACTATAAAGATGACATACCAATCGCAAGGTAATTAAAAAATAAATATAATGACGGCTTTTTCTATAAATAATAAGATAAGCCTGGTGGGACTTGAGTGCAGTTGTAAAGAGTGGGAAGTGATGTGAAAGTGTTCTCATTTTCACTTTCTCCAGATTTCTTTTCATTAAAAGATTTTAAGGTTTGGAAGATTGATTTAAAAATTGTTTCGTAGATTGATACGAAGTAGTATTGTTACAGTAGATATTTAGATAATTATATAAGTGGTTCTCAGGATTACAGAGATAGTACTTATAAATATATATTAAGGGATAAGATATAAACACACATGTGTTATTGAATGAATGATCCAGCAAATGCGTACGTGCCTGTACAAGTGGCTCTTGGATGACATTGCAGTTCAGATCGCTCTGGACTATGACGACATTTCAACAGCTATTGGCATCGTTATCGTAGTTGGTATTGTTTACCGATTGTCCATCGAATCGGTTGTAAATTAAGTATAGACCTAATATCGTAATCGCCATGGAGAAGGTCTAAAAGTAGGGAGTCTATCCGTGTATCGAACATTTTCCAACTGATTTACAGGCGATTGGGTCCAGAGGAGTTATTATTAGAATGATAAGCGGTTTCGACCCAGTTTTAATTACAAATGTTTTTGTTTTTTGTTTTTGGTTTTTGTACGGTGAAGAAACAGAATTATTCAATGGAAGTTGCCAGCAAGTATGTGTTGGATGTTAGATAAGTTTTGTGTGTTTCGGTAGTGCGCAAACTTTGATTGTCTTGTTCCGTTTGGAATGGCAATTACGTCCCGATATCGTTACCGCCCCATCCAATTCGACCAAGTTCTGCACCGAAAGTGAGTTACCAAATACCAAATACAAAATGCGAAATACCAAGCAAATTGCTCACTAATTGCTAGCAGTTGCATTAAGTATAGGCATTCTCCAGCTCTCCCAGCGCTTTGACAGCAATCGTTCGCGTGGGGAATACCAAACAAAATCGCAGTCACAGTTTTGAACGCCCGCAATGGCAGTTGTCTATGAATATGCAAATGATACCGGCGACTGACATTGAAATGCAAGCACACAAATATACAAAATTAGAAAATATATATATATATATATATACAATGTAGGCAAGTCGAGTTTTTACTTTTGTGATATAGGCAAGGTCTGTCTGTGCCAATTGCCTAAGTTTGGCAGTTCTTTTTCATGGGCCTGCCAAAAGCGAAACCGCATTTGGACCTGGTTGATGTGGTAAAGCCGCTCAAGTGGCTAAGACCCGGGGCAAACCACTTGAGGTCCCTTATCGGAGCGATTAGATTTGCGGGTTGCACACGCTGCCAAGAGAATCGACAACTGCTAACCAAGAGTTCTTGGTATAGTTCCTCACTTTTGTTCCTAATGCCAATAAGTGTCCCCAGATATTCAGCTAATCTTTACAGCTTGAATGTTACCCAACGGACTATATTTAATATGGGTGACGGTTTGGGAAAAAAGGCCCGCAATAAATTAAATAGAAGTTTCAGCACAATCTAGAGGCTATGGGGAATTTTCATTAGTCTAAATGGCATATTAAGGAAACGGAACAATGATTCAAGACCTAAATTCAAGTGCATATAAAAACGATTCTTTTCGATAAGGAATGTTTATAAAGATATTGAAAGATGCATTTATATAAATCAAAAATATCAAAGTTATTCAATCTAAAATTCAGGCTTTATTTTCAAATTATGACCCACAAATCTCGGTTCAGTGATCTGTGTAATTACTACCCCACTGTAAAAACTATAATTAGTGATGATTAGTTTATGATTAGTAATACCATTTTCTTTATCCGTCATGTTGGGAATCCGTAGATCGTTTTACATCCGTTACGCGTCACTTGAAATCGAAGAGAAATATGACATTTATTTAAAAAGCATTACGTTGTACGAGTACATGTATAATATGTAGGACGGTTGCATAAACTTAAGCTTTCTTTTTTATTTACAAAAAAATAAACACATTTGTTGTATTTTTTGTATTGAGAAAAAAACAGAAACATGCAATAAAAAACAGAAATAATCCTCTTCTTTAATAAGCTCATAAGCTGGTAAAAATAGAGGGTAACCATAAATATAATGGCAATTTGAAAGTATTGAATATTTTTCATTTGATATAAGAGAATTCTTATCATGTAGAAAAATTATGATCTCAATTGATGTGTAATGGATTATTAATTGATTTTAAATGTAAATTGAACTGACTATTTCCGGAGAAATATTAATAAATAATAGATATGTGCATCTTGCTGTTAGAAAAAGGTAGTGTAAATATGAATCATTTAGAAATTAGATAAGAAATTATTCTTCCTAAACCTCAATTCTTGTTTTTGGTCTACACCTTTTTTAAAGGATTTCAAATTATGATAGTGTTTTTTTTATTGCTTGTATAGTTTGTTACTGTGTTTTTTGCTCATGTTCTCTTATTATCGTTGTTGCTTTAATTGTTCGTTGCATTACGCGCACTCGTAACTCACATTAAATCATTTAATAACTGCAAAAAAAAGATCTAAAACGCACGTCGGATCGGTTTTGGGATCGGTTTTGAATCGGTTGTGAATCCAGTAGGGTCGAGCGATCAGACCACGTCCGCCAGCGGCGATCAACAGCCTCAGACTGAAGTCGATTGTCGACGAGTTTTGCTAAGAAGCCGTTAACGTTTTCGTTGGTGCGCTGTTGCGCCTTTTGTGCTGCTCTGCCCGCTGCGACTGCGCGCGTGTTCTGCCTCGGCCGGCGTCGCAGTCGAAGGATGACAAAAAGTGTTAAAACTAGTGATAAGCCTAATCGCAATATTATCGACAGGCCAGTGGAAGTATTTACGGCCCGGTGTTCGCTTACCCACAATGAATGAAGCCGCGCGGTCGCTCTCGTGTTTGTTATTTATGACCCACAACCCATCGAAATAAGCACCCCCCTTTGGTACCTTGTTCTAATCCCCCTCTAACCAACTTGTCATTCTCCGATCATTGTCCATCACAATTGCTATGCTTATCACAAATGCCACGCCCCGTCTGTTACAGGCAAGGTAGGTTGTGCAGATTGCGCTAAGTCATTAACTAAATATTTTCAACGCACTCCGGCTATCTTTCGGCATTACTTGCAGATCTGTGGGATGGGAGCTTCCCACCTTTAACGGCCATAAGTTATGAATTGAAAAGTAGTCTAGTATATATAGTCTAAAGATAATGATAAAAGCAACTACGTTTATACGTTCGCAAAATAGAAAAGATAATGATAATGCAAGTCAAAGAAGTCATAGAGGTTAAAAGAGACAGATTTAGGGGAAATACTTATAATTATTGTAGAATATTAATGCTTTGCAATAAATGAATTCGACTGAGGATTAAATAAATAATATTTATATCGATTTGGTAGAAATGCAAAACAAAAATTGTAAGATATATTTTCCAGGAAAGTTCTTAATACATTATTAAAGCAATTTGTCCAGTATTAAATACAAATAACTTGCCTAATCGAACTAAATGACTTTCTATTTTCACACTTTTCAATGTACACATAAATTACTTACCTAAGACCCACATGATGGGCATTATTTTGATAGCTCTTAAATAATTTATGTATGTTAAACCCTTTTATTGATAACAATGGGAAAATAAACTATTAGAAAGCTATTAAATAGTTTTAAGGTCGATAATTTTATCATAAATAAGTTTTATTAAATATACTCAATACTCTTATACCTATTTTTGGTTGAAAAATTAGTATTCTGCCTATAGCTAAGCCAATAATGGCCCAAAATCAGAATGCAATACCTCGCTAGCTTGTCTTCTTATTCTTATTAAGTCTATATTCAAAGTTGAAAAAGTAAAATTTAAGCCTTTTTTCGAACATTTAGATGATGTTACACCTTACAAAAAATGCAAATTTTGCTCAAAACCAATTAGAAAATTAAAGGGGTCGTTGTTTTTGTTGTTAGCTTCACAAAACAGTCGTTGTTTTACCTGGGCCTCTCATTTTAATTAATAATTATAAGGATCGGAGGATTTGCTTATAAGCTGGAGAAAACGATCAGTATTATAGCTGCGTTTAGTCAAGTTACGATAAAAAATACCAAAAAAAAATATAGGGGTTTAAAGGGTACTGCAAATCCCGCATGAAACGGAAATTCCGACAAGGAACCGTTATAGTTGAACCCCCCTTTGGCCCACCGCCATTGATTGGCATCTAATCGGAGGTGGTCGCAAAACTTGTGGCGTTTTTTTTTATGAACTTAATCGCTGCGTCGATAGCTGCGAATAGTATTTATGGCCACCTATCATTATAGCCATGCCCAGAAACAAGTATAAACATCTATTGGCCATAGCCAATCGACCGATTCCTGATAGTCCATAGACGATATTGTTATTGTTATTGTTAAACATTACGAGAAGCCCTGACTGTACGACAAGTGAACTTTTTGTTTTGCTTCTTGCTTTCGATTTTACGATTGTCATTTGGCTGGAGATTGCATGGTGTCTAGTCTTCATAATATGCGAGCTATGCGATCGATTGAGTAACACTTAATTAAAGCCATCAAGACGATTGGTGTCTGTGTCTGTGTCGATCGATCGGATTGCGTGCTGACAAATATACAAAGAAAGCTAAAATAAAACCCACATATAGCTATTGGATTTCCATGACATTTATAAAGTAGAATCTGAGTAAAGAAACTATTTGTTGATCATGGGGATTACAGTTACGGCGTTATCAATCTGATGGTAAAGTTTCTTCGATTAGATCAGAACTACATACTTAATCGGTGGGCTAATCGCACCAACCAGCACGAGCTTGCCAAATCGCACTTTGTGCCGATTAAGTAAGGGGCCATAAATGCGAAGCGAAAGCAAGATAAAGACGATGTCCTTGTCACAGATAGGCAGATACTCAATCGTAGATACTCGATCGATTTCTTAGGGCAGTGTCTCAATAGGCTGATATGTTCAGATAAAGGCACTTGAGGATCTAGAGTCGAAGGCCCGAACCCTGATATCAATGGTGATAACTTGTGGAGTGTTTGCTTAATTGATTGGGTTTAAACACAGATATAGAAGCTTCACGTGAATTTGTTAAGTTGCTCTTTTTATCGACATTTATTGGTTTTAGAAAAAAAATAATCCCATTGTCGATTTCAATTGTAAAATAAATACTTCTTAGAAAATGAATGAATTCATTGTAAGTAAATGTAATTTAATCAGTACATTTTTTTCTTTGTTTTAGCTGTCAGATATTCTGACTTTATTTCAACGATGTATCACAGGCAACGGAATAAAGAGTTATACGGTAGTTCCAGCTCACTCTGTAGCTTGAGATCTGATTTGAGCCGACTGATAAACGGATCAGAACTCAGAAGTAAGTTGATAACTACCCTGTCTTAAAATATATTTTCATGACTTATTCTATAATACTACAGTTGAGAACTTTAGTCGCATTCGAGAAGAGGACGATCCGTTTCCGCCTTTTTGCTATGAACAAGATACCTACGATTTTAAAAAGGTAAGTCCAGCATGCAATCTAAATGGATATTGGACAAACTTTTATGGGACTGCATATATACATACTTCCGCAATCTTCAAAAACCTAATGATATACCACGGCGCTCCGAAGTACTCTGTTCTCGTGAAAAACCTCAGTAATCTAAAAGTGAAACAATATCTAATGCGGATTGTAAATCTTTACAGCTGGATAGATTTATGGCTACCTGGGAAAGTCCCACAAATTACTCAAAGCCGTAAAGAAAACAAATAGAGATAACAGGCACTTGGTTGGCACTCGACCATTTTGCACGGCCAGGATTCCGATCGCTAGATAGGTATAGGATCGAAACAAGATAAGATCGATGGAATTATCAGTTTATTAGCTTGATCTAAAAGAAAACGACTGGGATAACCATAAGTTCAAATAACTGATAACTATTAGTGCAAGATATTAAAAATCACGAGCATAGCATTAGATTATTATTATTATTTTCACTTAACAACCTTCCTGTATAATAGCTATACAGTTGTCACATCAAAATTCCTATACAAAGAGATAAGGTAACAAACTCCAAGTGTATTGTATCCAAAGATAAGGACACACATTCCGTAAACCTCCTGGAAAAACAGTGAACCACGCTGTTAAATAAGTAAAGAACACAACTGTTCTTCCATACAATGAGGAGACCTCTGCGATAATGCTAATCATTGCTGTATTCAATAGTTCAGAGAGTCGGCACTCTAAATGGTCGTCATTGAACTTGACTATCTAAAGCTTTTCAAAAGAGAAGAGGAGATGGGAATACCCCTATAATAATAATAGGAACGCTGCTGCAATTGCAACGATCTGTGTAAAGAGAGAGAGAAAGAGGGTTGTAGCTACACTGAAAACAAATTGTGTTCCCTTTAGAAATGAAATCAATTTAAAAGTTAACTAAAGTCTTTAACTTTCCAAGGCAATTATTTAGTCTCAAGCTTTTCGTATCTTAGAACCCTAATTCATTTTTGGGAAAAATAAAATAAAGTCATACTTAGTTTTTTGACTGCAAAGAGCACAGCATAAAGCGAGATCAAAGCTTTGTTTGCTCTTGCTCTCCTCCGACACCTCTCCCCTCATCTTATACCCCTTCCACCTGTTTATCTAAAAATTTAATTTGGTTTTTGTTCTTGTTCGACTTGTTTTTATTTTTGTTGGCTACTGACTGCGCAGCTGCTACCTCTGCCAGCTGCGGCTCAAGTTTAAAAGCGCAGCTTGCAAATGGACTGAGCATCATTTATCGTCGGCCAGCGACGACGATCGTTTTATGGCGTCAACGTGGTGAACACCTCCCCACCCAACCCCTCTGTTTCACCTGTTTTTTGTTACAATATTTATTTTACTTTTTTGGCAAAACAAATCAGTGCAAAAAACCTTTTTGTCAAAACGTGTGCGTGTGTTTTCTGTTTCTCATCGCCGTTACTGCTTCTCCGTTTTTCGGGGGGTACTTCGATAAAATTCCAAAGTGAACAGCGATTCGGTGACTTTTGTGCGAACCTCATTAAAGCGCAATTAAAAAGTACCAAAAGCAAACCAAAGCAATGCCAAAATGGCAAAAGAAATAACTAACGGTAAAAACGGACAAAAAGAGGAGCTCAAGTCCCAAATTGCGGTAAGTGGCCCAAAAGGGTTAAGGTTGTTAACGAACTGTAAACGGAATGCCTAATAAGGGCAACGAAAAAAAAAGAATGTACAGAAGTTAAAAAGCAAATCCCTAACGAGTTCTCCAAATATAATCTACATTTGATCATGCAGAGTATCTATATTTCTTTCAGTGGAAAAGAGAATTTGATCATGCAGAGTATCTATATTTCTTTCAGTGGAAAAGAGAATGGGATGAGAGTAGAACAGCTACTTATCACTTTCAGTTGACAATTGAGAAAGTACAGTGCACACAAAGGCACACACATTAGTGTAAGTCCAATGGTTGTCCGAGAAAACGAAGTAAATGAAGATGTAAACTCACCAAGCTCCAATGACTTTTCTTTGGTCGCTTCGTTCTTCTTTTTTTCTCAGTTCTCCGTGTTTTTTACTTTCATCTGCTCCATCAAGGCTATTGATCGCAGTGGCAGCGCAGTCGACCTTGAACGCCCCCCAGCAATCAAGAAATGTGTGTCAACCAAAATCAAATCGATATCCTTTTATTGCCCGCAAATTGATTGAATTAATCGACGAGTGTCAGAATCAAAACAAAAATCAAAGAGATTTGGGTTCTATAGGCCATTGAATACTATTAAAAGAGTGAATATCACCAGCTTGAAATAATAACAAAATAGAATAATATGCAAAGAGATTTTTGGTTAGGCTTTTACCGAAACTAAATTAAATAGTTCTTTGTTGTTCTTTCGTAACTTTATTATAATTATTATCTGTCAACCATAACAATAAGTAACAGTAAACACCATATATCTATCTATGTATCTAGCTTAAATAATTGTTTTTTTTTATATAATATTATTTCAATTATATTTAATTTACTACATGAGCCCTATCATTTAAATTATTAAGTTAAGTTTATTAAAAGAGCTGACTTAACAAATAGTTTAGTTTTAATAATTCAACATATACACATACATACATATAAGGTTAAGACTACATAAGCCTTTTAGGAGTTACTTTGGGTTTTCCAGTTCTTAAAAAGTGAATTAAATGGCTAAAAATTTCAATTAACCCCTTGTAAAAGAGGGTATACTCCATAGTGACCCACTTTGCTGGTCAGGCCACGCAAATGCATTTACCCCGAGGCTTGTGATCACCTCCGACCACACTCCTACTCCAGAATCACCGATGATAAGGTCTAGACAAACCTTAGACTATCAGCTGTAGCTTTGGTCTCACCTTCTTTAGCTCCAGCCCTCTCTGCGGCGATCTTCTATTGTTTGTTAATTTATTAGCCTATGCTCGACAACTGTTACTGGCCAGAGAGGCGTGGCAGAGACTGGGGACAGAAGAAAGGGTGAGAAGAAAGATGTATGGCAAATCGAACTGTAAAGCTTGAAGCAAGCGCTAGAGAACTCTTAGTTCGATACCGAACGTTGTCTCTGACAGACGGCAGATCAAGATATAAGATATAAGATATTAAGCTCTTCGGGGTCCAAATAAAGCGGGCTGTAAAGTGAAGTCTTGGCCAGATTCAAACCGAAGTCTAATTACAGATCGAGCCAAAATAAAATAACTGCCGACTAAAGCAAGTGTTACATAAAGCTAGTTATGGCTTTTGTCGGCAATGCAGTTGTTGGCACGGAAAATTGCAAATCAGCAACGGTGAGTCTGGCGAGGAGTGAGGAGTTCGGTAAGGGTAGGCACTTGGCCTAGGCCGTGGTGTGCGCAGAATTCTCAATCATCAATGGATAACTTACTTAGTAACTAATAGAGGCACTGGTAGCGAAGCTTTTGCCGGAGAAAACCCGTTTGCATGCCGTTGCTCACCTTGGCCAAGAGACGCGGCAAATCAAAACAAAAAACTATAAAGCCAAGCAAAACAAAACAAAGCTAAAGCAACAAAACCGAAAGCCAAAATGAAAACGAGACGTAGTGACGACAAATACCGACATTACCATATGAATAGGCATAGAAATGTCAAAAAGTTAAGGCATATCCGAAGTTTTAAATACCCTAGCCAAATGATCTCATCTTTGAATTTTAATTTACTGGTAAAAAGATGATAAATGAAGAAAAGGTAACCCATAACTAATTTTCCTTGTTCGCTGAATTATCTTCATACATGAACATACAACTCAACCAAGTAATAGGAATGTTCTGTATAATATACGTTTTTTAGTAAAACAATATAAAAAAAAATGTATAACATTTTAGCAAAGCTCAACAATACATTTATTGCAATTGAAAGAACGTTTTTCTTAGTCAAAGTGACTTCGAGACTATTATAAACAGATTAAGGGTTACAAGCTTTAAAAGGCTTAATGAAATAGTTAATTTACGACCCTCCCTTTTGTTAGAACCTACATAAGTTGACACAATGATATTTTGAGCATTGAAACAAAATGAACTCTGTCAGTGGATAGAAAGTTTTTACAACCTCTTCGTCTCGGGGCGATGGAATGCCTGCCATTCATTATGCACTTAAAACTGAAATCTCTTTGACTTTGGGTGATGTATAAATGAAATGGGTCTATAATTTGCCTAGTCAGCCCATGAAACAACATATTCTCAATAATGGGACATCGATAAAGAAAGTCAGCGATAGGGCTCTGGGATCTGATAAGGCAAATGTGCGACAACGTACAATTAGATCGGAATAGTTGAATGACTTTGGTACTTTTCTCATTCAGGCACCCATTCCATATCCAAAATCGGTGGCCTTCATCATCAGTAATGAGTTTTGCGAGCGATTCAATTATTATGGCATGCGAAGTGAGTAATTTCAAGGGGATATCCTGGCTATATAAAACTAATAAATCTATTTTTGGCCAGCCATTCTGGTGTTGTATCTCACAAACAAGCTGGGCTACAATGAGGAGACCGCAACGGTGTTATTCCACACGTTTACCATGCTGGTTTATATCTTTCCCCTGATCGGAGCTCTTATCGCCGATGGCTGGCTGGGAAAATATAAGACCATACTATATCTATCGCTGGTCTACAGCTTGGGAGCCATGGTGGTGTCCTTTGGTGCCATTCCACTCATGGGAATGCCAACCAAGTAAGTAGTCATGACTATATAGTAGTGCAAAATTACTATACCATATTTGAATTCTTTCAGAGCGGTAACCGTGGTGGGTCTCCTGCTAATCGCGATCGGAACTGGTGGGATCAAACCCTGTGTTTCGGCATTTGGTGGCGATCAGTTCTCACTGCCCGATCAAACTCTCCAGCTGGCCAAGTTCTTCTCGCTGTTCTATTTTGCCATTAATGCAGGATCTCTGATCTCGACCACATTTACACCGATCCTGAGGGCAGATGTCCATTGCTTTGGCGATCAGGACTGTTTCTCGTTGGCTTTTGGAGTACCTGCCGTCCTGATGATCATCTCGGTGCTGATCTTTATAGCCGGCAAGCGATTGTATAAATGTCAGCCACCAGCTGGCAATATGATCTTTGGCGTGTCGCGTTGCATTGCCGATTCATTTAAGGGTTGGAAGAAGCGAAGGCACTCGGAGCCGATGGAGAGCTTCCTGGACTATGCCAAACCGACGGTGGGTGCCAAATTGGTGCGGGAGACCAAGTGCTTGGGTAGGATTCTACGGCTTTTCCTACCATTCCCGGTCTTTTGGGCCCTTTTCGATCAACAAGGCTCACGCTGGACATTTCAAGCCACCCGGATGGACGGTATAGTGTGGGGCTATCAGATTAAACCGGATCAAATGCAGGTGGTTAACCCCTTACTCATCCTGGGATTTCTGCCACTTTTTGACTATATAATTTACCCGATTCTGCGACGCTGCGGCATAAGGAGACCTCTACAGAAGCTGACCATTGGACTGCTCCTTGCTGCTTTGGGTTTCTTTCTGTCGGCGGGTCTCGAAATGAAGATGGAGCAGGCCGCCTATGGAGCGACGCCCACGGAACCAGAAACGGCTCATCTGCGAATATACAATGGCATGACCTGTCGTTATGAGTTTACAAGTGATGTCACTAGCAAGATGGAAACTCCACGCTTTATAGAACCACTGGGAATGTGGGAGGATCTGTCGATCCGTGTGCCTAAGTCCAAGGAATACGCTTTTAAAGCACAGTCAGTAGTCGGAAAGTGTCCTGCCGTCACAGGAAAGTTACGTTTGCAGCCGGGCAAATCCATGGGTTACTTCCTCACCAAGGACAAAATGGTGGCGTTTGCCGATGGCCGATTAGAAATAGACGCAAGTGATAGTGGTCACACGTTTGTGCGGGCTTTACTAAATACGCCAGAAAGCGAGGGACCTGTCATTCTATCGACTGAGTCAACTGGAACCCCGGAGTCGCCGATCTCGCTGGACAACCGTAATATGTCGCAGCTGTACAGGATTCAACCTGGATTCTCCCAAATAAACATCAACGGCAATAAGGTTGGCAGCTTCGAGGCCAAAGGAGGTGGACTATATAGCCTTCTAGTGTCTGGAACTACAAACGATGGCTACCAGTACAATTTGGTCGAGGTATTGCCCCCCAGTGCCGTGTCCATTCTCTGGCAACTACCCCAAATTGTCGTCATGACCGCGGCCGAAGTGATGTTCTCGGTCACGGGACTAGAGTTTTCCTATTCCCAATCGCCGCCCAGCATGAAAAGCGTCCTGCAGGCTTGCTGGCTTCTATCGGTGGCCGTTGGCAACATGATCGTCGTGGTGATTGCTGAGTTCAAGTTCACTAGCTCACAGTCCGGGGAGTTCACACTGTTCGCCTGTCTGATGATGATAGACATGCTCATCTTTTTGTGGCTGGCCCGCAGCTATCAGTATAAAGATCAATTAGAGGACTTCGAGGATGACGATGATGCTACAAACAAGGATTTTATGCAGTCAAAGCCACGGGCAGTAACAACTGTAGAAACTCCACAGAGAAGAATCTGCGACTTGGAGGCCGAACCTGGTTACGGGGCCTATCGGAATCACGCCTACGATAACGATTTTTCGGAGGCCTAAGTGTCAGTACTTAATAATCAAACTCCCCTATCCATAATACCTCGTCGTCGCCCGCATTCGCATATAGACGGTTAGTCAAGTCTCTTATTTATTTTATTTGTTCGCATTTATTATTATTTTCGCCTGTAAATACGTATGAGTGTTGTGTAGATGCATATCTTTTACCCAATTGTTTTGTAAATACATTTTATACGTTTTATTATACATAGATGGTTCGTTAAATTATATTTTTGGTCAGTAACAGTTAATCAAAAGAATCAAATGTTAGTACCTCAGCGTTTGAATTTTAATTTTTATCTAACATATTCTGTAAATGTAAAGCAGTCACTGTTAGTTAACAGGATTTTAGTTAAGGCGTGTTGCCACCTCGCGGGAAAAAGGTACAGTGGTGGCCTGCATGTAGTGCGCACTATCCGATAGAACACCTTAATTTTATGTTTAAAATTACATTTTGTGTGAAATGTTAAATGATCCGTTAAATTTAACTATTTAAATAAGTTGTGAATTGTGTTTGTAAGTCAAATTTTAATTAATAGTTAGTAATTTCTATCGCAAACTAGGGATACATTGGTCAAAAAGTTTGCTAATACCAGAAATCAGGGGCGTAGTTTAAATGAATTAGCATCCCCTTCGGCTTCGGACAAGTGGCATCCCCAATTGCCGTCGTTTTTTCGCCGACAAGCATTAAATGCGTAGTCGTTAAAGTTGTAGTTACAGTGCCACTCCTTAGAACTTTAATTTAAACAAAGGAAAATTAATTTAAAATACAAAACCCAGTCAGCTAGTTAGTAAAAATGTGGCTCCAACGAAAGTGATCTGCTAAATTGCATAAGTCGGGTTATTTTACCAAGTAGAAAGCGGCGTGATAATGAAAATTCATGAAACAGCATTGCCAGCATTGCAGAAAATTCCAAAGAAGAAGCCATTTAGAATGCAAGCCTAAGCACATGAGAAAAACGCCTGCAGCTGCTGCATATCAAAAACCAGACCGTAGCCTTGAGGATTACGAACAATAGAACCCCTGGGAACCGAACCCAAATGGCTTATAGGGGTTGGGACTGGACTCAGGTAGGCCAGAAAACCGAAAAACCCAGGAAACCGAACCTACATTCTTGCCTTCGTCGTTAAATCGAAAATCAGTCGTCGGCGGCATGGCCTAGTGTAAACATCAGTAAGAAACTCTTCTCGAAAGAGTTCAAAGTGTATATTCCTTTTTTTTTGTTTTTTTTTTTAAAGTGACAATTTTTTTAAGGTGAAATCAGCTACTGCAGCCAAATAGACCCAACGCAACTGGACTATGATGTCTTCCATCGGGCAGTGACAACTACTGGGCCTCCCCAGCCCCACATTAAAACTCCGGCTTCTCTATAAATATGAGTGACCAGTAACATAGCTTCAAGTCCAGTAACCGCCCCATAGAGCCATCAACCTATAAAGTACCCAAAAGAAATTCTCAAATTCTAAAAGATTCTCCACCTGAGCTGCAATTCTTTCGGGTGGCGTCTTTGAGGCAACAATAAGATGCGGCTGCATTGAAGAACGTGAGTGTGATGCGAGTGGTGTAACATGTGCGGCGTCAAGCGGAGTGGATGATTCCATATAAACCTAACCTTGCAGTCTTAAATAGTCCCTATGGCCCATAAAAAAAGGAGAAGAATTACTTCCCTTGAAAGAAAAGAAACGAAAAACGCTTGCGATGGAAAAGTTTGACCGGTACGAAAGAGCAAAGAAAATCCCCAGAGCGTTCGCTTGGCGCCACTTACGTTCCGAAAAGACGCGTACGCATACCTCTATTGGTCGTAAGTGGCGGTACGCGAATGCGAGCGAGATAACAATACTGTAGACAAGGAGAGACGGCTCCCTCTCTCTATCTCGCTCTGTCGTGCTGGCCAGGCGTTTGCATCGCAAGCGGCTAAGCGAGACGGCTATAGGGCGGATTGCAAGGCCCGAAAGAGAGCAGTGAAGCAATATAAACCCCTATAAGCATTAAATTACGCTTCGAAAGATGCGTATAACACGTGGGCATCCCTCGGCGAGAACAAAGCTCAAACCTCACTCACGAGCAGCATTTCGTTCTGAAAAGGCCAGCCAAATCTGGTGGAATTACTCATCCAGGAGCGTAGAATCGCAATAAATCAGTCGATAACTGCATGGGCAGGTATATTAATGTAACAAAGACGCATGAAAGCAAGAGCTTAGCGCTCTTTTAAAGCATTATAAAGTGTCATCGTAACGTTCAACTTCACAGTCCATAAAAATCCATTTCTGGTCCTTGCAAAACGATATTGTATTGGCCTACATTTGTAGTTATCACTGTCCTAGGAACTCATCAGACTTAAGAGAGATAATACGGACGGCTATTAGTTAGTTTAGGGACCAGTTAAATTAGGAGCCATGCCGCCATTTAATTCAATTATCAAAGCCATGAAGCTTCGCCCAGAAGAAACTGCCGCTGCATAGGTTCTTAAAGTGCAAAAAAAAGCTAAACAGGATCCCCACTGGCTAAGGGATATATAACTTATAAACACTTAAAAATAAAACACTGTTCAAAAACTCAAGCTAGGCAAAAAACGAAGTCATCAAATCAGCCACAATTTAATAACAACTCAAGAATAAGTCGAGTTTGTAAAAACCAATGTTAAACCATTAGACTTGTGGCTAGGAATCTCCTCAAAAGTGCCATTTTAATTTTGTATTTTGGTTCACAACTAACCAAATATTTGCTTACAGCCAATTAATCAGTTTATTAGCTGAAAAAGCCCTTAAATTAACTGCCAGGAGGTGAGTTTTTGTCTTCGATCCTTGGAAAACGTCAAGTAGGTTGCCCAACTAGAGGAGACAGGCAAGGTAAAGCCTGTATAAAAAACCTGTAACAAAAAAAAAGGATAAAAAAAGAATACAATACAAATGCTATACAAGCTAGCTAATCATAAGTTAAGCGAAAAAAAAACAAAACCGTTTAAAAGGTTCATAAAACGCTCATAAAATGGAGCGCTTCGTGACCAAAAAAAAAAAAACAAGGTACAATAAAGCGAATTAATTGCTGATCAATCGTTCGACCAGCAGTTGATTTAAAAATGTATACAAATATTCGCTGAACTTAGGAAAATTGCTTGCTAAAAAAAAATATTAAATTCCTTCTACTGGGCACCGACAAAACGTTTCCACCTGGGAATTAAGCAAAAGCTGAAATGTTATTGGCCTTGATTATTAATGTATTTCTATGCTGTGTTCTTTCAGATGAGTTTTGAAGAGAGACGAAACTTGGAGCCTCGCGGAGCCAAAGTTTTCAATTTCTTTTCTTTTAAATTGCTAATATTCGAGGCGATTTCCAGCACTTTCTTAAAGATTTGTCTTAAACATCTGCTGGCTTATTCTTGAGTTTAACTTCCCATTTAAAAGTCATCTTCATTCCGTTTTTGACATGCTTGAGCTGAAAATTGCGCAGAGTCCTTTCTTATGGTCAGTTGAACCATTTTCATGCCCAATATCCTGCAGTTAAGGGAATACTATTGCAGCATTTGTCACCGTTGAATTTGATATGCAAGCAGGTTTAAATAGAGCCTATGAAATCCAGTCCCTCCCCAATCGTGGCCATAGCCAGGAAGCTCCGCCAAATACAAGAGAAGATTATACTAATAACATTGTGCTTACTTTCAGATCATCCTTGGAGGAGAATATTTTTGTTTTTGTGTGTTTTTTCAGTTTTTTTTTTCTGTCTAATCTACTCTTGTCAATTGTGCTCCCACACCCAATTCTCCCATTGTTCCATTTATACATTTGTGTAATACCCTGTCATTTCTCAAAAACCAATTACATCCTTCACATGATTCCGAAACCAATTTAGATCCGAAATTACCAAAGATAAACTAAATCACATTTCGTGTTTCGGCGAACGAGTCAAAAGCATGTTTTGAAACGTTTTCCGAAACAGAATAAAAAATGAATTGCGTAGAACGACAACAATGAACGGTATTGAAAGCAAGCGCTTTGGACACGGTTCAAAATAAAAAAAAAATAACAAAATTCAGAGAAAAGAAAAAATAAAACACATTTACTAACAATATTATAAGAAAAACACAAAAAATAGTATATGAAAACTTGCTGATAAACGTTATACGCAGTTCTCGAAAAGATGTATTCTAAATAACAAAAACACAAAAAAAAATAAAAATGCAAGTGAAATGAAAAATGTGTTGAAACGTTATACGAATCTTCACGAAGTGCCCAAAGAATATAAAGAATAAAAGAAACGTTTTACGCCTGAGCCGATTTACAAAGAAATAAAGTATGTTTATTCTGCGGAGCACAACAATGTCAATTTTATTTGGATTTCTTTGAGAATCGGCTCGGGAGTAAAGTGCATGATATCAACTTATTAATCTGCTAATAAAAAATTAAATACGATAAAATTAAGTGGAACAATTGTTTTTTATTGGGTTTTGGGATTCTGTTCTCGGATTTCACTTTTATCGACATTGTCTAAAGCTTTCATTAATAATGGAATGCGAAATTTGGTCAAAAAATGTAGTTTATTAATGTATGTATGTAATGTAGTTTAAAAATGTATTATTATTAACATATTAACAAACCTTATGTTAGTTTTTAAGCCGAGTAAAATATTGGGATTGTGTGAAGGTTTGTTTTTGACTTTTCGTTCAAAAAATTGTGAAATTCCCCTGTCGATGGGCTAATATCTGGCCGTTTTTCGTAGAATTTGATGATGTCACGCCTAATTGGCTTCAGCACGGACGAGAGCTGGAAACCCTATAATAATGGGTAAGTACGCAAGGCTCTCCACCTCAGAATCAGAATCTTTAAACTGCTCCACGGTACGTTACAAACTGTGCCATCGAAAAGATTTTTCGACGTGTTTTATTCGTGTCGGACTAAATTAATCTGCAGTCGTTATGCTGACAGAATCGTGGTACACCTAAACTTACTGGCGAGTGACCTAGCTGAGCCGATTTCTCACCGTCGCGACAGCTAGAAGCTACATCCTTCCCATTTCACTAGTCGTAAGTTCACAATCAAGTTATGAGCCATACGAGGTATTACATTCCTCATTTGGACCATTTTTGGCTGTTCTATGGCCGAAAAACTGATTTTTTTATGCCTGAAATTATGCTACGTCTTTTGACAGCAGAGAGCACGGCTTTGTTGCTGTTTCTTAGCTCTAACTTTGTCAAAACAAGCCGCATGGCTTTAACAATGACATTTTTATGCAGCTAACTACCGAAACTCAACACCCCTATACTTACTTTTTACGTTATTGTTCTGATTTGTTGTTGCGAAGGCTGATTTAATAGCTAAAAAACCAGGAAACCGATTTTTAATAGAAATTTGCAACATTCTTTTCGGCTTTTTAGCTCTAGCTCGGTCGAAATAGGACGCACAGCCAAAAGAACGACTGTTTCGTGCTGCTAACGACCAACACTAACTACCCCTATCACTCGTTTTTCGATTTTGAGGAAATCAATTTTGGCCCAAATTTCGCATTTTTGGTAAGGGGTACCATCATCAAAATTTTCGAAAATGGGACAAAAATGAAGTTTCCCAGATTTGAATGCAAACCAATTGGGAATCATGGCAATCAAGTTACGAGCCATGCGAGGTATTACATTCCTAGTTTGGGCCATTTTTGGATGTGCTATGGCCAAAGAACTGATTTTTTATGTCCGAAATTATGCTACGACCTTTGACAGCACAGAGCACGGCCTTGTTGCCGTTTCTTAGCTCTAACATTGTCAAAACAAGCCGCACAGCTAAAACAATGACTGTTTTGTGCAGCTTACTATCGAAGCTTAAAACCCTTATACTTGCTTTTATCATTATTGCTCTGATTTTTTGATGAGAGCTCTAATTTAAGGACTGAAAAATCAGGAAACCCATTTTTAACAGAAATTTGCAGCTTTTATTGCGGGTTTTTAGCTCTAGCTCGGCCAAAACAAGACGCACAGCCAAAAAAACGACTGCTTTGTGCTGCTAACGACCAACACTAACTACCCCTATCACTCGTTTTTCGATTTTGGGAAAGTCAATTTTGGCCCAAATTCGCATTTTTGGTAAGGGGTACCATCATCAAAATTTTCAAAAATGGGGCACAAATGAAGTTACCCAGATTTGAATGCAAACCAATTGGGAATCATGGCAATCAAGTTACGAGCCCTACGAGGTATTACATTCCTCATTTGGACCAGTTTTGGCTGTGCTATGGCCAAAGAACTGATTTTTTATGCCCGAAATTATGCTACGTCCTTTGACAGCACAGAGCACGGCCTTATTGCCGTTTCTTAGCTCTAACATTGTCAAAAAAAGCCGCACAGCTAAAACAATGACTGTTTTGGGCAGCTTACTATCGAAGCTTAAAACCTTTATACTTGCTTTTATCATTATTGCTCTGATTTTTTGATGCGAGCTCTAATTTAAGGACTGAAAAATCAGGAAACCCATTTTTAACAGAAATTTGCAACTTTTATTGCGGGTTTTTAGCTCTAGCTCGGCCAAAACAAGACGCACAGCCAAAAAAACGACTGTTTTGAGCTGCTAACGACCAACACTAACTACCCCTATCACTCGTTTTTCGATTTTGGGAAAGTCAATTTTGGCCAAAATTTGCATTTTTGGTAAGGGGTACCATCATCAAAATTTTCAAAAATGGGACACAAATGAAGTTACCCAGATTTGAATGCAAACCAATTGGGAATCATGGCAATCAAGTTACGAGCCATGCGAGGTATTACATTCCTCTTTTGGACCATTTTTGGCTGTGCTATGGCCAAAAAACTCATTTTTTTATGCCTGAAATTATGCTACGTCCTTTGACAGCAGAGGGCACGGCCTTGTTGCTGTTTCTTAGCTCTAACTTTGTCAAAACAAGCCGCATGGCTTAAACAATGACATTTTTATGCAGCTAACTACCGAAACTCAACACCCCTATACTTACTTTTTACGTTATTGTTCTGATTTGTTGTTGCGAAGGCTGATTTAATAGCTAAAAAACCAGGAAACCGATTTTTAATAGAAATTTGCAACATTCTTTTCGGCTTTTTAGCTCTAGCTCGGTCGAAATAGGACGCACAGCCAAAAGAACGACTGTTTCGTGCTGCTAACGACCAACACTAACTACCCCTATCACTCGTTTTTCGATTTTGAGGAAATCAATTTTGGCCCAAATTTCGCATTTTTGGTAAGGGGTACCATCATCAAAATTTTCGAAAATGGGACAAAAATGAAGTTTCCCAGATTTGAATGCAAACCAATTGGGAATCATGGCAATCAAGTTACGAGCCATGCGAGGTATTACATTCCTAGTTTGGGCCATTTTTGGATGTGCTATGGCCAAAGAACTGATTTTTTATGTCCGAAATTATGCTACGACCTTTGACAGCACAGAGCACGGCCTTGTTGCCGTTTCTTAGCTCTAACATTGTCAAAACAAGCCGCACAGCTAAAACAATGACTGTTTTGTGCAGCTTACTATCAAAGCTTAAAACCCTTATACTTGCTTTTATCATTATTGCTCTGATTTTTTGATGAGAGCTCTAATTTAAGGACTGAAAAATCAGGAAACCCATTTTTAACAGAAATTTGCAGCTTTTATTGCGGGTTTTTAGCTCTAGCTCGGCCAAAACAAGACGCACAGCCAAAAAAACGACTGCTTTGTGCTGCTAACGACCAACACTAACTACCCCTATCACTCGTTTTTCGATTTTGGGAAAGTCAATTTTGGCCCAAATTCGCATTTTTGGTAAGGGGTACCATCATCAAAATTTTCAAAAATGGGACACAAATGAAGTTACCCAGATTTGAATGCAAACCAATTGGGAATCATGGCAATCAAGTTACGAGCCATGCGAGGTATTACATTCCTCTTTTGGACCATTTTTTGGCTGTGCTATGGCCAAAAAACTCATTTTTTATGCCTGAAATTATGCTACGTCCTTTGACAGCAGAGGGCACGGCCTTGTTGCTGTTTCTTAGCTCTAACTTTGTCAAAACAAGCCGCATGGCTTAAACAATGACATTTTTATGCAGCTAACTACCGAAACTCAACACCCCTATACTTACTTTTTACGTTATTGTTCTGATTTGTTGTTGCGAAGGCTGATTTAATAGCTAAAAAACCAGGAAACCGATTTTTAATAGAAATTTGCAACATTCTTTTCGGCTTTTTAGCTCTAGCTCGGTCGAAATAGGACGCACAGCCAAAAGAACGACTGTTTCGTGCTGCTAACGACCAACACTAACTACCCCTATCACTCGTTTTTCGATTTTGAGGAAATCAATTTTGGCCCAAATTTCGCATTTTTGGTAAGGGGTACCATCATCAAAATTTTCGAAAATGGGACAAAAATGAAGTTTCCCAGATTTGAATGCAAACCAATTGGGAATCATGGCAATCAAGTTACGAGCCATGCGAGGTATTACATTCCTAGTTTGGGCCATTTTTGGATGTGCTATGGCCAAAGAACTGATTTTTATGTCCGAAATTATGCTACGACCTTTGACAGCACAGAGCACGGCCTTGTTGCCGTTTCTTAGCTCTAACATTGTCAAAACAAGCCGCACAGCTAAAACAATGACTGTTTTGTGCAGCTTACTATCAAAGCTTAAAACCCTTATACTTGCTTTTATCATTATTGCTCTGATTTTTTGATGAGAGCTCTAATTTAAGGACTGAAAAATCAGGAAACCCATTTTTAACAGAAATTTGCAGCTTTTATTGCGGGTTTTTAGCTCTAGCTCGGCCAAAACAAGACGCACAGCCAAAAAAACGACTGCTTTGTGCTGCTAACGACCAACACTAACTACCCCTATCACTCGTTTTTCGATTTTGGGAAAGTCAATTTTGGCCCAAATTCGCATTTTTGGTAAGGGGTACCATCATCAAAATTTTCAAAAATGGGACACAAATGAAGTTACCCAGATTTGAATGCAAACCAATTGGGAATCATGGCAATCAAGTTACGAGCCATGCGAGGTATTACATTCCTCTTTTGGACCATTTTTGGCTGTGCTATGGCCAAAAAACTCATTTTTTTATGCCTGAAATTATGCTACGTCCTTTGACAGCAGAGGGCACGGCTTTGTTGCTGTTTCTTAGCTCTAACTTTGTCAAAACAAGCCGCATGGCTTAAACAATGACATTTTTATGCAGCTAACTACCGAAACTCAACACCCCTATACTTACTTTTTACGTTATTGTTCTGATTTGTTGTTGCGAAGGCTGATTTAATAGCTAAAAACCAGGAAACCGATTTTTAATAGAAATTT